CGCATGAGATCAACTCAAGATTTGAAGGGAAGGTTGACTGTTCACTTCCAAGGGGAGGAAGGTATTGATGCAGGCGGGCTTACAAGGGAATGGTATCAATTGTTGTCCAGGGTGATTTTTGATAAAGGAGCTCTTCTTTTTACTACCGTGGGCAATGAATCAACATTTCAGCCAAACCCTAACTCAGTTTATCAAACAGAACATTTGTCTTATTTTAAATTTGTTGGTAGAGTGGTGAGTCTCTTTTCAATTACTCAATGTTCTCTGTTGGTTGTCAATGATTTTTTCTTATACCTTTTTATCATATTTAGGTTGGGAAAGCATTATTTGATGGGCAACTCTTGGATGTCCATTTTACTCGGTCATTCTACAAACACATACTTGGAGTCAAAGTCACATATCATGATATTGAAGCCATTGATCCTGATTATTTCAAAAACTTGAAATGGATGCTTGAGGTAAGTGCATTTATGTAGTTCCCACCCCTCTCTCTTTATGTATTATCATCTCTTGTTCATTGTTGCATTTGTGACTTTTGTCTGTTTCACTATGGTTGCAGAATGATATCAGTGATGTTCTGGATCTTACTTTTAGCATTGATGCAGATGAGGAAAAACTGATCTTATATGAACGAACAGAAGTATTGACTGCTCTTAAACTTTTGAGATGGTATACTGGATTATGTAATAATATCATCTAATCTTGATGAACCTTTTTAGGTGACTGATTATGAATTGATTCCTGGTGGTCGGAATATCAAAGTTACTGAGGAGAATAAGCATCAATATGTTGATTTGGTTGCTGAGCATCGGTTGACAACTGCTATTCGACCTCAAATAAATGCCTTCTTGGAAGGGTTCAATGAATTGATTCCCAGGGAGTTGATATCGATATTCAATGACAAAGAGCTGGAATTATTGATTAGCGGACTTCCTGATATTGATTGTAGGGTCATTGTTTTACATTACTTTAACTGTTGTGATTAATGTTTACTTACTCCTGCTGCCTGCTCTGTTTACTGGTATCCATATTATATGGTAGGGCAAAATTAACTGTGATGCATTTTATTTCAGTGGATGACTTGAGAGCAAATACAGAATATTCTGGATATAGTGCTGCATCGCCAGTTATCCAATGGTTTTGGGAGGTTGTTCAAGGTTTCAGCAAAGAAGACAAGGCTCGGCTATTGCAATTTGTGACAGGGACATCCAAGGTAAATTGCTATCAGAGCTTTGAACATTTTATTAGCCACTCACAATTTCTGGTTGTTTTCCAAGGTGTTTGAAAACAGATGAATTCCATAATAAGATAACTATATTCATTATGGCCATTCATGAGTTTAATTTTATTTCAGATGCATTTAGTCATGAGTTAGTCGCACATAATTGAGATCTGCCACTGACTGTGTAGTTGGCTTTGGAATTTTGAGAATGATTTTGTGATAAGTTGTTATTTAGTGAACTGATTATATACAATGATCTAAGCTTTGTCTGATTCCTTGGAAATATAATATTATATATCCTCTTCTATAACAAGTGAATGATATTGATCAACCTTATTTTGTAGAGAGCAGATAAAATCACTTGTGATGCAGTTTGTGGTTCTGATTTTTTTTCACTGATGTTTCAGGTGCCTCTGGAAGGTTTTAGTGCCCTTCAAGGAATTTCAGGCTCCCAGAAGTTTCAGATACACAAAGCATATGGAAGTCCTGATCACTTGCCTTCTGCTCATACTTGGTATATCCTTTTTCCCTTTACAAATTCCCTATGTATTAGCCTTTTCAGGTTTGATTATCTGTAAGCTATAGGCTATATTTGTCTCTTGATGGATCATTATAGTGTGATTTCAACTAATTAAAATGAAATCTTCATGCAGTTTCAATCAATTAGATTTACCGGAGTATCCATCCAGACAACATTTGGAAGAGAGGTTACTGCTGGCAATTCACGAAGCAAATGAGGGATTTGGATTTGGTTGAGAAGTTTCAGGGGGGCAAAATACTATGTATTTCTTTTTTAGGTTAGGAGCTATTTTCAAATAGAATTGAGTGGTACAGGGGGATGAAGATTTTAGTTTTATATCATGTTAATATGCTGTACAGTCGTATATTGCAATGGGAAATGCCGTTGGCAGTTTTTCAATTAACCGTTTTGGCCCGCGATGTTTCATTTATTTCAGCTGGCAGCTTCTATGCGACGATCATTTTGGCGTAACAATGGAGAAGCTAAGTACCTGATTATTTTCGTAGGAAAGTTGAATTGCTGGTACAACCTAGGAAACTTAACCAACGTGTGATGGGTAAAGTTTATTTTGGTGCAGAGTATAAACTATTTCTATAAAATATGTACGGTAGTTTATGATGAGTGAAACTAGTGAAATTTATGAAGTTATTTTTTATTTGAAAAGATTGTCTTCATGTGATTTGCAAAATTTTCGGGTTCGTTGCTCTTAATCGAACTGACTATAGAGAAATTTGGGGGCGAAGGTAAAATGAAGTGAGGAATGAAATCTCTATTATCGTTCAATGTCAAATTTCAAGCAGTTTTGGCAAACAAAGAAATATGAATGAAAGAAATGCGGCAGCATGATAGAAACTGTGTGCTTTGTTTAGATGTGGAGGAAAGTTGTAAAGGAACAAGATGGAAAGAGGCGCGGGAGAAAAGAAGTACAAGATGGACGACTTAAGCTTATTTGGATTGATAGAAATAATAATGAGAAAATCGAGTTGTTTGGTTGGCTAGAAAAGTAAAAAGTAAATTAAATTTTATATTAGAGTTATTGCTTTTGTCTACACTTTTGAGTCATTTAAATATTGGTATGAGTAAAACTTGGGGGCCTTACAACTCTTGCAGGCCAGAAGCGAGATTCTTTCGATATGTGTACCGGTACAGTGCATGGGAACTGGTTTTATCAGAACCGACGAGAATCGATAAAAAATCAGAGTACTTGCTACAGTACCTTATAAACTTGAGAGTATTATATATTATTTGTAAATTATTTTTTTAATATTTTTAATATTAAAATATTAACATTTTTAATTAAATAATTATCTTCATTCTTTATAAAAATAAAATTATTAAGGGTAACGATTCTTTTATGTATAAAAATAAATATCAAACTTTCTCATGAGATACATTCGATTTTATTAAATATCAGTAATAAAATAGTTTGAACGAGTCATTTTTAATTTTTTTTAAAAAATTTAATTTAAAAATATTCCTTTAAACTAAATAAAAAATATCGACGTATTATAAAAATTCATATACAAATATTTACTATTTTTTTATATTGATTTTTTCTTGCAGAAAATATATATGATCATTTTATATTAATGTAAAAATTAATTTATCTTCTTAAAATAATAATTTATCTTATTTTTAATATTTTATGTTAATTTATTATATATATATAATTATCTCTAATTTCACCACAGTTGAACTATTGAACCGGTACCTTTAACAATTTAATGACTGATCCGATTCTTAAAATATAACTCTTAAATGATAAAAATTATATTTTTACTCCAATTTTCTCTTGCTTATTAGTTCCTTAGTTATTTTTCTTGAAATAAACTAAGCCCCAACGTATAGATAGATTAAAAATATAAAAAGAAGCTTTTTTCTACTTTAAATGAATAGAAAAGAATAATGTATGTATATAAAGAGTCTTGGAAAATGGAAGTGTTAGAACTTAAAACGAGTCAGTCAAATTCGTGAAAGCAATAGCGGATCTTTGTTGAGTTTTAATAATTATAATATTTTTAATAATTTTTTTATTCGTATAAATGAATGAATATATAACTTTTTTTTATGTTTCAAAAATTTCTTTTTTTTTTGTATGTTTTTGAAAATGAACTTTTATATTTCTTTCTTTCCTTTTCTTAATTCTGGTTAGTTTTTTTTTTTTTAATTGTTTGCTTTTTGTTTTCTGTCACAAAATAATAAAAATATCTAGCAATTTGGATCCAACAAGAAAGAGAGTCAATAAAGATGATCTAATATAACTTTTTTATCCCACCACATCTATGTAGCATTACAATTCAAATAATATTTATAAAGAAGCGTCATCTTACGTGAAAAAAAATGAAAAGAAAAAAGAATATATATATAAAAAATGTATAAGTACTAACAGAGTAACAAGTGGCTAGATATTACTTAAGAAAAGTCTTGAGTTCAAATTTTTATGTATGCGAAAAATTTTCAGTAATAGACTCACCCAATATATTTAGGTGCAAGACTTGAGTCAGACTCGAGTTAAATCAAATAAAAAAAAAGTAGCAAAAATATATTGAGAGAAAAAATAAATGGTTAAAATTAAATTTGACTAAAATAATCTTTATCATCTATGTATTATTATATAATCAAAATTAATATTTCTAATCTCTTAGTCTTTCACTAAATACGTTACCTACTTATTAAAAATACAAACTAATAATTATAATAGTTAAACAATAAAGTCAAAATTATATATTTTATTAAAAATCATTTTTTTAATGTAGACTATAGGTATCATCTAGGCAATCTTATTTGAACATAAAATATTCACATTACTGCTAAACCGGCTCTTATAGAGAATTCTTTACTTTTTCTTTTCATATACAAGGTATAAACTTGAGATCTTACCTAAAAGAAATCAAACATATACTCTGACTTGAATCACCTACTCATTGGTTGCTAAAATAAAATGATTTGGTTCTTATGTTTGTTTTTAAACTTTCTTAATGTATAGTTATATATATTAAATTGAAATATAATTGATGTATAATTAATTTAAAAAAATAAATTAGTGAATTGACTTAAGAAAAAATAAAAAAATAGGATGAATTGCCAAGTCATTATAAGGGATACTTTAGCGACATACTTAGCTAATGTGAGATTTTAATAATATCATTAAGCAGGAAAATACTAGAATTTTTTTTCCATCTCCAATGTAAATAAAATCAATTGCTGGTAAAAAAAAAACAGAAACTCTCTACATCCATCTTGAATTTTGTGGTCTACAACAGTCAACTGACCTCCAAATGAAAGCTACAACATTTCCAGTTACAGATCTGTTATTTAGTTCTTTTCTATTCGTACTTCTCTCCCACAATCTCATTCAGATGGAAATATGAACAAAGCTCGAGAGTCAGATGTTATCGTCTAAGATATTTCTTTCCCTTGGCATCATCATTAATGATATTGCAAAGGCTAGGTGGAAAATCAACTGGCCACAAAACCACATCATTTCCCCAAAGAACCATCTTAGTAAGATGATCTGCTGCTCTATTTGTTTCACGCCAGGAGTGAGAAATCTGATATTCATCAAACTTCTTTAATAGTTTCCAGATTTGTTTCAAACAGCTATCAGCTTTTGGACAAGAAGGTTGTTTTCTATTGACTGTCTTCACAACACTCATGGAGTCTGATTCCACCCATATTGCTTTAATCCCAAGACCTAAGGAAAGAACAAGGCCTCTCCATATGGCCCACAGCTCAACCAAGAAAATATCTCCTTGAGGAACTTTAGAGACAAAAGCACAGATTGGTTTGCCCCTGTAATCACGAAGCAGCCCACCAAAACTAGCAGTTTCTCTTTGTATAGAACCATCAGTATTTAATTTTGTCCATCCAAACTCTGGCTTTGTCCATCCACACCATCTTATGGATCTGGAAACTGGATTCAGAATGTTTGCAATTTGGTTGAGATTACTTAGTAGAACCATTCGTTTGATTCTTTTCTGAGTAGAGGATAACAGGTAAGTGCTATTTGGTACATGAAACTCAACTCTAAGCTCTTTTTCCTTAGTCTTGTGTTTCTTTCCTTTAAGGTGTACCGTTAGGCAATTTTCACTGGTAGTACTAATCTGACATAAAGCACAGCTCCATTCCTTCTGGACTTGGTTTTTACCAGTTAGCTTTGTATAACTGCTTTCTGTCTTGTCACAACCAGCAAGATCATCTCTCCCCTGAAGTAACAAATGTTTAGAAACAAGTCTATACTGATATCACAATGACACAAAAGAGATAGAGTAAATGAAAATCTGGCTTGGAATGAATGGGAAGTCACCATCTCCTTTTAGGTGGTGGTTACCATATTACATCTAAACAAATTTGCAATACCATTCAAGTGAAAAATCACCATAAATAGCACATTTTCTAACATTTAGCAAGACACTTGTATATTTTGAGTAAATGGATAAACTGAGAAATCAAAACTACCAAACGAATAAGCTAAAACCTTAACATCATCAAACGGGTTGTTGGTGATGCAATGGTGCATGAAAAAACTGGGGCAAAAACTTGAAAACAATACCTGATATTCTACAAGTTTCTTCTCCTGTACCTTACATGTTTTTGTTTGGTCAGAGACGTCAAGAAGTTTGCTATCCTCATCTAATTCAAAGAGTGTGCTATTCTGACTGAAGATGTTCAATGTCCTCGTATATAGGTTCCAAGTGCAGTAGTGCTTAATTAAGAACTTATAGATAGATGGTGCAGCACCAAAATAAGGTATTAACAGCAAGATTGTTGCAAAGGATTTCACATGAGGCCACCATGGGATCCTGTAACAACAACCAAATAAAAAATGAGAAGAAATGGTGGCAGAAAACCAAAAGATAAAGGATTTTCAAACACGAGCAAAAGTGATGATCGGTTCCAAGCTGCAGACAATGATAAGAGGATGAAATGGTAGTAGACAATTTTTTCTTTCCTAACCCTGCCACTTTTGAGACATTATTTTGAAAATTTCCTTTTGAAATTGTTTTCTAGTTTCTACCAATACACATGCTCACTCAGACTCTTAACTTTATTCCTAGAAATGCTTTCAAGTAAGATGAACACAGAAATAGATCATAAAAAGCTCAAAAGAAACAACAAAGTAAACCAACATGCAAGTTATACAGAGTCAGTACCATCTCAGAAGTAGTAGTACTTCATCTAAAATGGAATTTTGTCAAAGGAATCACATCTGCAGATTGGAGACAAGGTACCAGTAACACAGTTGGTAAATGTTTATGTTCCGACAAAACAGAAAAATCTAGAAAATAAAATAGAGATGTTAAACAAATTAGCAATCCTATATAGTACCATATCAGAATGGCATCATTTCAGTGATCAAGACAACAGTCAAACTCACAGCGATTAAGTAGCAACAACTGACTTGAATTATGAGTTCAAAGATTGAAGATGCCAAATTTCATAGTAAAATTATCACAATATGCATCAACTTTAAATGAGTTCCATGACTAAGGATACTTGTATCTTTGGGTACAAAAATGAGTACCTACTCAAACTCAAATTATCAATTAAATTCTAACTTACCAGTTAAATAACGCTGGAAGTTCCCATTCCATAATCATAGACATGGAAAACAGAACCCAAAAAGCAAGGCAATGCTGGTTGCTGGAATGGGAGTCACTCTCCATTGCCCGAACAGAAACACACCTGCAAATAATAATAATAATAATCTATAATTTGATCCTTGAAGTAACATCTTTTTTATCTTTGATTCCCAAATGTGTTAACTTACTCACATCATCCTCTCACAAAAATGTAAGCAAAACTAACATATTTAGAGACTAAAGTGTACGTACTAGGGGGCAAACTATTTCCCAAAAAAACTAAAATGTAAGCAAATTAACACATCTGAATACTAATTTGTACAAAACAAAACTTTCAAAGATCAAAGGTAAACAAAGTGTCACTTCCAAGCATATATTTGTGGATTTACTCTTAACAATAATAACAACAACAACGGTGACGATAAACTGAAGGTTCGCAATTCACAATATTCTTGTATTATTAAAAAAAAAAAACAGCTAATATTATTTTTTAATGAAAAAAGAAGAAGAGGAAACGTGATTAAATACTTACAAGGAACAAAGCAAGCTAAATGGAGGCCTGTATGTCAAAAAATAAAAAATAAAAAATGCAGACATCAAGTTAGAGAATGCTACCCCGCTAAAAATCTCATCGAACGTTTAAATTTATTTAACTGTGACTAAATTTTCAAATAACAGATAGAGGAAAAAAAACAAAAAGAGAGTTGGTGTAGAGTACCAGGCAACGACGGTGAATGATTTGGTTAAGAGAGTAGAGAGAGCTTCTTCCCAACCCATTCCTTCAGTCTCAGCTTTTTCTCTTTTCTTTCTCAACACAATTCCAAAGAGTTTTAGGCTGAAGAAAGTACATACAAACTACTCCCGTTGTGCGGAGGGAGAAGACCAAAAGTCAATGTGATGATTGACTCCTTCCTTGTGTCTCTTCAATAAATAATTGAGTCGTACTAATAATTGAAAGTCGAAACTTACGGGGTAAGATTTGAGACGTATCAACAAATTTTGGCATATACTAACTCCTGTAAGAAATAAAAGAATAAATTATCATGAAAAAAATATAATTAATAATTTATATATTTGATGTTATTAATAAAAAAAGGTATAAAAACATTTAATAATTAATATATTTTAAATTTATCATTTATTTTTTATAATAAAAACAAAAAATATTTTATTTTATTTTTTATAAAAAATTAAAAATAATATCTTATTTATGCCAGTGATGCATTATTATCACTTATATTTAATAAATTTTTATATAAAATATGTTTATTCATAATATATTTTATAAAAAAATATTATAAACAAAAATAAAGCATCCTGATTAAGCATATATTTTCGTTTTAGTCCTCTCCGCCATTGTACTCGCCACCGACGCTCTTCCCGTCTCCTTTGTCGAACTCGTCCAAGTAACTTCCACCTCTTACGACTCCTTCACCACCAACCACCACCAGCGGCTCCGACGGCCATTGGTGCTGAAAGTTGGAAGAGAAGCGAAGGATGAAGGAAGAGAGATCGTGAAAGGAACCACTGGTGGTGGAGGAGTTGTAGGAGGCGGGATCGACGAAGGATACGAGAGGAGCGTCAGTGGCGAGCGGTGGACTTGGGCCAAGGAGGACGCCTGAACGGTGGGGCTGAGGGCTGAAAAGGTAAATAAAAATTATAAGGGACCGTAAACAGAATTGAGAAATTTTGAAGGGACAAAAAGCATATGTATAAAGGTGACTAATGAACTCCCTTTGCCACGTCATACTTAACAAACACTAATTTAATGGTATTTATTTATAAAAACTAAGGGATGAAAAGGGAAAAAAATTATAAGAGACAAAAACAAAATTGATAAATTTTAGAGGAACGAAAATGATATTTAAACAAAAACTATTATAATGTTTTGAAATGTAATAAGTTAAACTTGTGTTTGTTTTAAATATTATTTTAATCTAAGAAAAGTTAAATAATTATAATATTTAAATAATTTCATAATGATTCAAGAAAATGTATCGTGATTATTAACATTATACGGAGAGAAGTATATTTTTTTTATAAAAAAATAAAGTAAATTAAAGTAGATAAATAAAAAATGTTACAAATATTTTGTACCAATAAACTGACCAGTTCTTAAGAAATATCAGAATGTATTGAAAGAGACATGAATGTTCAAAAGATTCCTACTAATAAAATCCAACATCTCTGACAACAAATATTTTTATGTGTCTAAAATTTTTCAATTTTATATTTTTTCCCCACTTTTCATTGATGAAGATCAAATTTTCTCTCTTATGTTAAAATTAATTTTTTAACATTCAATCCTTTATTTCAAGTAAAATATCTTAAGTCCTTAAATATTTTTAATCCAAACAAACATTAAAGACACAAATTTATAGGATCCCACAGTTTAAAGTGTCATTCATAAGATCTTAATTGTTTACCCTAATATCCAAGTCAATTACACATTCTTTGATTCCGCAATCAAATATAATGCTAATGCTTAGGTGACCAATGAAAAAAATGAACAACATGAAAAATTGCTTAATTGAAAGATAAAAACAGAAATCAAAATTAATGAAACAAGAAAGTGAGAATTGAATTCAGATTTATCCTCTTCAACCAGAGGGTTTAGTTACTTATCATAAACAAAAAGAAAAATAAAAAAATCAATAGATAAAATAAAAATAATTTCTATTTGAACTTTAACGAATTCCATAACTCGATGCCTTAACTTCGAATATTCACAAACCCTATTTTCATAAAAGATATTTTTATAATAAAGAAGTAGTTTTTGACTTCAAATAGTTTTAAGTTTTGATTAAAGTTATTTTATTCATAGTGTCTCGTCATTGCTATTTTGGCTATGTTCTCTCTAGCGTGTTTCTAGACAGTGAAAGCAATAAAAAATATAAAATTCAAAGGTCACAACGTTTAAATTAGGCACACGCTTTGGATTTACTGCTTCCAGCATACGCAGACATAAATTGCGCGTGCTAATGCCTATACAATCTCCTTCAAAATTCAAATTTATTCCATCCAAATGTCTTTTAAAGATAAGAAAAAGATGAACAATAAGCACCTAAAGAAGGAAAATTATCACATCCAAAAACTTATACAAACACTAAACTATCATAAGAAAATAAAAATCGAAATAATTCCTGGGAAATTCGCTTACATACAACAATTAACACTCTAATTCACTTCCTAATCTAACATAACTATAGTTATGTGTAACAATTATCTTAAACCCTTCTAATTGTTTTAGAAAATTAGGTCATTTAGCTAATATATATATATATATATATATATATTAAGTATTTTGAAAACTCTAGGGATTATTTAATGCATGGAGATCACCTAATGAAAGACTCATTATAATAGAAACTTATGATGTTAAAATTTTAGAATATAATTATATCCAAATACCATTGAGAGTAAAAATTATATTAGTTGAACTTAGAGAAAACACAGGCAAGCCTCTTGAATTGAAAGTGAAAGACAATCAATTTTAAAAATATTGAAAATTTTAGGAGTCTTGGAACTTATATAGCAAATGACTCTAATAGTTAACAGTTGTTTCAGATATAAAAAAAATGGAGCCTTTTCACGATTAAGATTGTAACCAACACAAAGTGGCACATCAATATTTGCAAAATGACACCTCCGCTAAAATTGTAAGCATCTCTCAATTTCTTATTTTTATATACATACGTAGGATGTTGTTAACTAGTATCTTAAGATATTGATTGAGAAATAAAAAATATTAGAATAAATTAAAAAAATATAAAATTACATACAAAATGCATTAACAATAGTTTAACAAAGATTTTTAACTTTTAATTTCTCATCTAATTTTTTAAATTAGCACTTGCCTCACTTATAAAAGTGAACAAGTTTTGACGAATAGAAATATAGAGGATGTATCATCATTCTTTGAAATTAAAACGGAATATAAAAATATAAAAATAATTAAAAATGTGAATAAAGTATAAAATGTATTTCATGCTTTTGCTAAAACATAAAAATGCATTTCAATGCTTTTGCTTGATATACAATAAATATAATGATAAATTCAAGTTTCAAATTATTAAAATATTAAAATAATCATGCATAATGCGGGATAGTCTCAAATATATGATAGTTTCAAATGTACCAAATATTCTTGACATATGTTAAGAAAATAATAAATAATATTTTTAAATAATAATTTTTAATGATATTAATATATTAAATTTTGTAATATTTATTATGCGAATTTGTGTGGCAAACCAATGGTCGTTAATCCCTAAAACTATATGAGTTTAACAATTCACTGTGTACACGTGTCGTACTTCATCCTAATTTGCTTTTCCTTTTCACTAGCACCAGCAGCGATGGCATGCCTTTGATTACCGAGCACCTCACGGATCGGATCTTAATTTTCAGGCACACAAGCGTGATGCATTTTTCTAAATAAATTTTATTTTTAGGTTCTTTTCATTCTACAACACTTCTTTTAGTGCATTCTGCGATGGTTTTATGTGAGAGAAGAAGCGTGTTCCTCTTTCGTTTCAAAACAATTTTGAGTGTGTGATTAAAAGTTATCGCAAGTTTGTTTCTTTGAAACAAGTGATTTCTCCATCGGAAAAAATGGCAATTTCTCCTTCCAATTTCCTCTTTAATTTCTTGGTACTTTGTATTACGTTGACGCTCTTATTCATGTAAGTCCTCAACCATTATTTATTTTGTTGATAAATGTATTTCTCGTACTAAATTTTGACATATTCAGTGATAATTTCTAGTTATGTTTTCGATGGAATTGTGTTTAGGATGTATGGTGTAAACAATTGTTTTAGATAGGGTTAAATTTCAAATGGTTGCCGCACATTTTTGGGTAGAATTCATCAATTTGAATTGTAAATTGTTTGTTTGGATTGTTAGAATTGTAAAACGTTGAGAATGTAAAAAAGGCAGGTATTTTGTGAATTTCGCAATTTTGTTATTAAAATAATTTCGGAGTGAAAGTGAAGAGAGTTACATATTGATATGAAATGATGTATGTGTAAATTATGTAAGTGAAACATGCTGAACTTAATTAACGTTGGTAACTAATTTACATTACGACAATTTCATGCTAATTAATCTTATTAATCAATAAACGAAATATTCTTTAAGAGTTAGTATAAAATTATTATTATACTTTTTTCTTTTACTGGATAGAATTATGACTGCTATGATTCAATTTCAACCGTATAAATTGTTCTTAAAAGTTTGTAACTTTATTCTTAAATTATAAATTTACGTTTTTATTCTTTGATAGGAGTATTTTTAAAGTTTTTTTTAATTCTTATTAAGTTATATTTCAAGGTTATTCAAATAATAATAATAATAATAATAATAATAATAATATACTTCAATTTAAATACTTTATTTTAAATTTTTTTCCTTGAGTTTAGAACTTTTTTTATTATTTCATTTAATATAATAAAATATTTATATCAAGAATATATATATATATATATATATATATATATATATTATTTCTATATTTTTATTTAAACATACAAAGATTTAATTAAAATAATCCAGCCATTCAATAATTAATTATTATGTTTTTAAAAAAACTATTTTTATCATAATTATTTTAAATTTATATCTAAATAATTTTAATTAACTAACAATATAAGAGTCGTTACACTCACAAGATGTTAAAATTAAACCTATATGAAAAAATTACATGCTCAAAGAACATTTTTTTTTATTAGCTGAAATATATATTTTGGAGAATTTTAGAAACAAACTTTTAATATATGTTTTATTTATTAACTAAAATATTTAAAAATATAAAAAAATATATCTAATTGATTAAATTAAAAATAAGACTAATATGATTTTTATAATTTTACATTAATTTTTGTTAATGATAAAAGATATATTTAAATAATTTTATTAACTTTAATTTTTAAAATAAAATTTAAAAATGTAAGTAATTTTATTAAAAAAAATTTACATTACTTTGTTTTTGCTAAGAAATATTTACAATACTTTAATATTAAATTTTTTAATTCATTTGATTTATTTATAATTTAATAAATTATTTTTTCAAATAAAATTTACTAATGTTAAAAATTAATATTTAAAAGAGGTTGGAAGATGAGCGAGGGAAAACCAACGACTGATCACTAAAACGCATCGTTTAACTCTGAGAACCCCCTGTAAACGCGTCTCACTAAATAATACCTTTTCCGTTACACTAGCACCAGCACCAGCACCAGTGGCATGCATTTGATCACCGAGCACCTCACGGGCCGGATCTTAATTTTCAGGCACACACCGAACGCTTTTAAACAATCAGTATGGTTGGCTCAAGCTTCATTCATTTTTTCCAAACAAATTTTACGTTAGGGTTCTTTTCGTTCCACAACACTTCTTTTGGTGCATTCCGCAATGGTGTTACGTGAGTGAAAAAGCGTGTTCCCTTTTCGTCTCGTAGCATTTTTGAGAGCGTGATTCGAAGTTGTTGTGAGTTTCACGGTTCGTTTCTGGATAGAAGTGATTTTCTCCATCGATTAAAATGGCAGTTTTTCCGACCAATTTCCTCTTTGGCTTCTTGCTACTTTGTATTACGTTGTCACTCGTATTCATGTAAGTTCTCAACCATTACGTTGACGCTCGCTTTTCAAAATGTTGGGGGAATACCTAAAGTTTTATCGTCAAATTATATTCCATTGATGACTCATTCTCATTATCTTATTTTATGCAAATGATGAAACCATATTATGCTTTATGAATGAACAAAAAACATATTATGCTATGTAGTTTAAGATTGTTATGTTGTCATCACTTTATTATAGTTAGTGCTTTAAATATTTGTTGTAGACCATCTTGTTACTTGATTCTGATTACACATCTAATATCTCTTATAACAGATTTTCTTCTGCATTGTTGGCCTGGATTCTGAGCCGGGTTTTTGGTGCATCTGTTGAATTTTGCGTCGGTGGATGCAACAGTTTAAGAGATGTGGTGCTGAAGTTTAAAAAGGTTTTTCTTTGCCTTCATTCAATGCTTTATTTTGTAGTTAAGAAGTTTAAAGGGCATTGAGGTCAGCCTATTGCTTGATATAGAAAAATCCAGTCATTCTTGGATTTTATTATGGTAATTGATGTACATTGCATGATTAAATAATTTTTTACTCCAAAATTTATGCAAGTTTCGTGTCAAGTCCCCATTCCCCCAAATGAAAAAATCTATGATCGGAAAAAAATTAAAGGATTATTGTAAATGATCATAATTTGGATGAATAATGGTTTAGTGAAAAGATTGTGCTCTGATATCATATTTATACTAAACCTATGCAATAAGGTACTCTGATTTTGTACAATAATGAATGATCAGAAATAAGAAACCTAGGACATCACATAGATAATGAACCTGATAACTATACAATAGCTAATGAATATAGTAATCTGTACACTGTATATTGAATTGAATCTATTTCTATACTCCCCTTCCAGCTGGATCTTATAGGTATCATGATCCAATATTGCTATATATATAATGAATTTGAGGACCTGGAAGAGCTTCTGTGAATACATTAATCTACGGTAATTAGATTTAACAAAATTGATAACATTGCATCCATTTAAGATTTTTCATTAATAAATGCCAATGCACTTCTCTATGTTTGGTTTGCTTATGAAACATTAGAATTGAAGAAGTATCCATGGCAGATTCATTGTCAAACATTAATTGCATCGGCTTATAATCTCCAAATTTTAACTCTTGAAGCAACTATATTAACCAAATAAGCTCACATGTTGCCATGGCCCTTGATCTAGCAACAACATCTTGTTTCTCACTTTTCCACAACATTGGAGGCATTTAGAAGAACTAATGTCAAACTTATGAAATAGCTTACAACACCCATGAGTTCTTTTTAGCTTATTTCAATAAGCTTCTTGGTATAACTTTTCAAAATAAGTGTTTTTTAGCTTATTCTAGTAAGTTTCATAATCAAATCTATGGCATAAGCCTTCATATGATAAGAGCTTATTGAATAAGTGTTTAACTAAGCTGTTTACCAAATGCACTCATTAGGTTGCATCCAATTAGCCCTTAATAAATAATGATTGATCATTTATCTGAGGGAAACTAGCCCAATCTGCATATGTAAAACCCATAATCTGAAAATGACCTTTGTATTCTTGGAGGAGTCTTGTCCTGGTGATTGTTTGATGTAGATGAGTATTTAGATTCCAGCATCTGAATAACTGTCACATGGAGTTTGTGGGAAACTGGAATTGCCTTCAATTAGCACTTGATAATCCATGATTGATGATTTATCTGAGGGAAAACTAGCCCAATCTGCATATGTAAAACCCATAATCTGAAAATGACTTTGGTATTCTTGGAGGAGTCTTGTCCTGGAGATTGTTTGATGTAGATGAGTATTTAGATTGCAGCGTCCAAATCACTATCACATGGAGTTTGTGGGAAATAGGAATTGGCTAACTACATTTACAACAAAAGAGATATCAGGACAACTGATGGTAAGGTAGTTAAGTTTTCCTACAAATTTCCTATAGCATGCAGGATCTATAAAGGCTTCCCTTTCCCCTTGTCTTGGCAAAAGTTTGATGTTTGAATACATAAGACTTTCCACTGGTCTACAATTTGACATCACATTCTCTTCTAAATATCAAGAACATATTTTCTTTGGGAAATTACAATACAGTTAGAGGACTGAGCTATTGAGAAAATGTTTAAGGCATCTTGAGTCCTTAGTTCGAAAGTGACAAAATAAATGCTTTTTGAATTGACCAATTCCATCTTCAACATTTCTAGTGATGGCAATGTCATTATTCATGCTTTTTTGGTGTGAAGAATGGTGGTAGAAAACCTAGTGGTTCTTCTCACTCTGAACCAAACCAAACTGTTGGATCATAATAAAGTCTTAGAGGACCAAGACATACTCCCCTTTAACAACAAAACCAAGACGTTCCTCTTTAATTCAAGTTGAGAGGTAGGACAATGATGCATGACAAAAGTCTATGCAATTGGTTGTTCCATCTCCCATCAATTATCTCCCACAGTAGCATGAAACTAGAGATTAAAAAATGAAAAAAAAGAGAGTTTTCAAAACAAAACTATAAATTATCAATTTTCTCCCATCAATTCAACATTTCTCCTTATCTCGATCTATTTTCTTATAAATGAAACCCATGACTGACTAGTTTTCTGAATACACTAAACGGAACATTCTAATTAAGAAATAAGCACCCTTCAAATAATTTATGCTATCTTTTCAAAACTCCTTACCTGTAACTAAATTTTCAAACACTATTTCATTCTTAGATTTTGCAAACTTACTATTTTTTCATTTTTGGATGTAAACATTCTCAATGATGATCCCTTATTATCATTTAAGCATCTTGAAATCAAGTAAGAAGTTGCAAAATGCATAATTGCAGGTCTAATTAAATATGTTCCTTTAGTAAAGCATTGCAACAAAGATATAAGATCAGTCTTAGAATAGATACAAGTTGTATTTTTTTTACCGCATGTAATTATTTCTTTATGTAATGGTATCTTCTCAAAATCTTCCAACATTAGATTAATGCAATATGCAATACAAGGTGTCTAATAAAGCCTTTTCCTCTTCTTCATCAACATTTCTCCTGCTGCACGAAGTACCCAGAAGACTAAAACAGTCACAAGACAGAGCACAGAGTAGAAAATGGAAGATGTAGCAAGACTGAAACTGGACGAAGTACCCACAAACTAAGACAGCAGGAAGACAGAGCACAAAGTACCCAAAAACTGAAATAGCAGCAAGACAGAGAGCACAAAGCTAATTAGAACACACAATATAGAGCACAAACCAAGTCGCATGAACTACCCACGCAGAGAGCATCCATGCACAGAGAACATGAAAAATGGTTTTGTACGACCCATGCAAAAGCACACAACACAAAGCACGAACACGAAGATTGAAGCCCCCATGCACAGAGAACACAACTAATGGTTTTGAAATAGAGAAGAGAAGATGCAGGAAGTGATCGTTGCATGTAACTAGTGTTCTATTGCGAGAATCGGGTAAAAAATTAATGGAAAATATGTTATTTTTGAACGGGGTTGTGATATCTGACCTGAACACAAGGATCGGATATATCGTAGATCCCACGATCTTACAAGAAAAGATCACAATTTAATGCAATCCCAGAAGGCTTCGATCCTATTTGCAATTAAGATTGCTAAGGCTCAAGAAGATCGCAAGATTGTGTGATCGCATGATCATGATCGCGATCTTGACAACACTAATTTAGATCTTGAGAAAAACATCATTATCACTTTTGTAGTTGAGAGTAACCAACAAAGACACCTATCAGTCTTTGGGGTATTAGAGACCTTCTTGGTTAGATGATCAGAAAACACTGTACCTTAAAAGTAGAGTTCAACTGCTGAAGACTATTGCATATAATTATGAGCATTGAGAGGCTCAGAGGTGATGATTGGAGAACTGGAAATGACAGAACTTAATATAGATTTGCTGGTGGAGGAAGACACAGTGACAGATATTGTAAGTGGATGAATGGGGATAAAATAAAAAAGCAATCATCCTGTCTATGAATGAAGTCGAAGAGGAGCCAAACAACTAGATGATAGCAAATGGAGGTTTGGTGGTTAGGGGCTGATGCGAGTCACCAAGAGTAATATGATGGAGAAAACAGCAGCAAGAAAAGATGTTGGACACACTAGAAAGTAGAAGGAAATTCTGGAGAAGCTGGCAGCATGTGAAAAATGCTGAACTATGTCATATTTATAGTAAATCTATAAAATCAGGTACCCTGATTTTTTCCAGTAATTAATGATCATAATTAAGGAAGCTAGGAAATAGACAATGAACCTGGTAACTGTACAACAACTAATGAACCAAGTAGTAGTAGTAATTTCTTCTTGAGTTAGCTATTTGACTTGCCACTCAAAGTGGTTTTTAACATCCCTTCCACTTCTTTTATTCCTAAACAAGTCATTGTCTACCTTTGCAATTTATCCACAATAGTTTTCCCTTAGCTTGTGAAACCTGTGGGCAATTTGGTTCTGCTGATCTGTTTTTTTTTTATAATACAGCTCTGAGGATCTTATGTCAAATTCTCTGCATTTATTCTAGTGAAGTTCCTTGCTTGTTTCTGCCTCTAAGGTCCCCTAGCAATATACTCTGTTGATTTATGACATGTACAGGGTGCTATTGAATCTGTATCTATTGGTGAAATTAAACTCAGCTTACGCCATTCCTTGGTCGAACTTGGTGTGGGTTTTAGTTCTTGGGACCCAAAGTTGCAGGTATTAATATGCAACTTAGAAGTTGTTACAAGGCCTTCAAGCAAAAGCTCTGAGAAGAAGAAAACTCGAAAATCTAGTGCACGTGCTTCAGGTAAGGGAAAGTGGAGGACGATAACCAATATTGCAAGATATTTGTCAGTTCGTGTGACCAATTTGGTTTTGAAGGTATGCATCGCTCTATCATTTCAATTTTCTTGTTTGGCCAAACATACAGTGATTTTGGTACTTTCAAACTGGTCTTTGTGTCTTTGTATAATATGTAATAATATATTTAAATGATTCTTAGATAATCAAATGTAATGATTATTATGAGGAGAAAGAAGTTTAATATGACATGCCTACAAATATGTTTTCGTTAAATTGTATTTATTTTCTTTTTTTGTGCTGGGACTGAGATCTTATTAAAAAATATTCTATGGGTCACTGAGAGTCCCTTTTGAATGTCACAGACACCTAAATCTATGGTTGAGATTGGGGAGTTGAATGTGGATATATCTCAAAATGGTGCACCTGAGCCAGATTTGTTTGTTAGGGTACAAATATTGCCCATTGTTGTTCAGATTGGTGACCCTCAAGTTAGTTCTGATCAGTTATCTAATTTTAATGGTGGAGGATGCAGTGCTACTAGCCAGGCATCTGTTGCTGCTACAGAAAAGCTTTCTGCTCCTTCAATTTGTGAAAAGTTCTCCATTTCATGTGAATTTGGCTATGATAGGTATTATTTTTTTATGTACACATCTTTTATAATATTAAACATGCGCTGCACTTATTTGAGGGGTTGTTGGAGAAGAGGAAGTGGATTTGTATGCAAGATGTTCATAATCTGTATAATGTAAACCTCATGGTTGAAGAAATTGGAGTTTTCAAGAAATAAGGTTCAACTACAAAGGGAGATTCCGTTATACACATTCTGCAGCTCTGGATTGTGAATTAAATTGATAGAAATAGGCTGTTAGTTTGACAAATATTGGACCCAAATTTAAAAATTCAAAACCAACTATAACTTTCTTTTGGTTTGCTTTGCAATTTTTGTGGTACACCATTTGTGCCTAAGAATATTTTAAATAGTAGGATCTCTCAAATGGAACTTGCTTTTTAGATTTTAGGCTTAATTGCATTTTTAGTTCCCCAACTTTCATGCTTGTTCGATTTTTAGTCCACCAATTTTAATTGCATGATTTTGACATCCCTATTTTCTTAATTAAGAAAATTTTGTTCATCCGATAAGTTGTCATCCAATTGTTAATGGATGATGGTACAGTCTTCTCTTCCTCCTCTTCCCCTTGGCTGGAGCTTCACCCTTCTCCTCCCTTGTCTGAAGTTCTGCCGCGAGAAGCTTTGGGACTTGAGGTTTGGTGATTAGAGAAGGCACAAATGAGGGAAAGGAGGAGGATGAGACAAGGAATTTGGGGAGAGGGAGGGGAAGCTTCTAAGCGAGGGAGAGGAAGGAGGAGCAGATGGCAGGGCTGGAGAAGAACGCACTTTTGAGAGTGTTGGTGGTGAAGTTCCAAGTGTTTTAAGGTGATTTTGGGTCAGACATTGGGGGTGTAGTGGAGGATAGTGGTGACGATGAGGCGGCATTGGAGAACTGATGGCAGAGATGAATGGTACATTGTGGTGAAGGATCTGAGCTCAAGTGATGACTGTTACGTTACAGTGGTCATGATTGTGGGTATGTCTTTGTGGCTTCAAATGCTTGGTTTCTTGCAGTGGTCATGACTTCATGTGGCAGAACTCTGGCTAGAGGGGTGGAGATCTGGCGAGGTGGAGAGGAAGAAGAAGACCATGCCATCATGCATTAAAAATTGAATGACAACTTAATGGATGGACGGAATTTGCTTAATAAGGAAAATAGGGAGACTAAAATCGTGGGATTAAAATTTGAACAAGTTTGGGGGACTAAGAATGTAATTAAGCCTAAATTTTATATTTGTTGCTGATCATTTGTTGCTTTGACTTAGATAGAGTCCTCTTCTTCTTATACTTGTGCTTGGTTTTCCCCTTTGCAGTTTCTATAAATTTCCTCTTATTTAAAAGAAAAAGAAAATTACCTGCTGTATTTGTGTTTTTGTGGCAATATTTCTTGACTTGGACACTCATCCTTTCTTGATTTTCATTTTTTATCCTTCTAGTGCTTCTTATTTGTTGTTTTTCTTCTCTCTTTTTGGACGCAGGGAAGTGGGTATAATTATAAAGAATGTGGACATTTCCACTGGAGCTATCACCGTGAATTTGAATGAGGGGTTGCTCGTGAAAAGAAAGAGTTCTTCAGAATCTTCTTCTGGATCTGAGAAAAATATAGGATCAAGTGTTGATTTGATGGGCACAAAACAGCCTCCTAAGAAGCAGCAAACGCTTGCAGGCTATATTTCTATGTTTCCTCAAAAGGTTGGGAAATTATACATAATTTTTCTAAGCATTGTGTATACTTCCTGAGCCTTGGCACTATGTCAAGGTTGTTGACTTGTAAATGAGTGGTCAGTCTTGTGTTCTAGTCAGAAAAGTAACTTCTTGGCTTATTTGGGTGGGTGATGATGTATTCATCTAATCCTCCCTAAACCTCACAATGGGTGAGCCTAATGGGTGCTATTTGACTGAATATCCTATAGAACATATTATTGTCCCCAAGGTCAGGCATCAGTTCATGTATTTTATTGAAATGCATGACTTATGTTTTCTCTTTGTTTTCTAATCCTTTTGGTAATATTATAACAAATAAATAAATAAATAAATTTGACTTAATTGGAATTTATTTAGTTGCTGTTGAGGAGCTTGAGAAAAGGCATATCTTAGGCCTTCTCTCCATTGACATCTTTTTGAATAGTTACTTTTTGAAAAATTTGGGATGATATTTTCACATGTTCGGCATCACTTGTATTTTATTGAAATGCATGACTTATGTTTTCTAATCCTAGGAATCTTAAACAATTAAGAAAAATAATAAACTCTGTGAAAATATTTGAGTAGTTGGTCACTCTTTCTTTTGAATTATTGTTTTTCAAGTTATCTTCTATTTGACGACTTCATTTTGAATGAAAAGTTGGGCATTAGCTTTTGAAGTATCTTTCTTTTGCTTGACAATCTAATGTGGTTTTACGTTCTGCTATTTGTTCAAGTAATCCACAACCTCGGCTGTTAGTGTATCACTTCTAGGATCCACTCTTCTTTAGTCATTGATCTTCATTCTATTGTGTCTAGCAGCAGTATAATAAATGACATGTTAAGTTATTATTTATACTATGTCTTTTTTAATAAATTTTCTTCTTTTTCCAACAACAATTTTGTATGGATATACACTTTACTTTTTGATTTAGTTGAATCTTATTGTTTAAATGTCTTGCACTAGGAATATGAACAAAGTATTTCTTAACCCCTTTAGGTAGCTAGGAGAGGCAAAAGGGGCATATCCAACTATAACTTGTTGAAATATAGAAAGTGGGTTGAGAATCATAACTCCTCCATTTTTAAGGTGGATTATGGGCTGGTTGTCCCCCATAACTTTATAAAAAACAGAAAGAGAGAAAAATTAAAATCCCACTTAAACATGAAAAGTTTAATTAAAATTTCAAAATAATCTAGTTAAAATTCATAAGTGATACAATAATGATTAAAAAATTATATATTATATAAATCTTTAATTTAAAGTAAAATATTTGTCATCCTCTTCCTTCCCCTTCAAATCCCAAACTCTTAGACATACCCTTTGAAAATTAATCCCAAAAGTGATTTAGAAATGACTTCTTGAATTTAATTTTTGAAGATATGAATTTGGAGAGGTAACAATTAAGTCACTTTCCCTACTAGTCTTGTACAAGCTCTCCCTGTCCGTGAAGAAGTTTAATATTAGGATCCACAAAGGTATCAAGTATCAACAGGCTAAGCACCCATCAACCTTGCTTCATCTAGGATGTCCAATACGTACCTTCTTTGAGAAATTACAATACTGCTTTTGGTTTGTGTTACTTCTATCCCTAAGAAGTATCAGAGTTAGCTACTGTCTTTTGTTTGAAAGTGGTGGCAAAGGTATTGTTTTACCTATGTAATGCCATGATAATCACTTCTTATAATGACAATGTTGTGTATAGATACCGTAAAAGATAGTGATCAGTTTCATTGCATGTCATGCCAACCATGTTTCCAGTGATTATTTTAGACCATATGGTATTTTTGGAGACGATAGACAAGTTCTAAGGACTTTTCCTGAGGAACAAACTTAGGAGGTTAATCTATATACACCTTTTTAATAAGATTACCATGGAAGAAAGCATTTTTTATGTTAAGTTGATGAAGTGGCCAATGATGAATAGCAACCATAGAAAGGAATGGCTGAATTGAAGCCGCCATGGGAGAAAAAGTGTCAACATAATCTAGACTAAAGATCTATGTATTAAATTTTCTCTACCAAGTGAGTCTTAAGGTGATTAATGTTACCATCAAGACTAACCTTGACCATGTAAATTCACTTGCAACCAATGGTAGACGTCCTATGAAGGAAAGGAACAAAGTCTCAAGTACCAATATTCTGAAGGACATATTCCATCAATCATTGTCTGTCTTTAATTGGATTGTAAGAGAGCATTGCTTGTAAACTGAAGAGTAGAAATACAAGTCAAGGAAGATAGACAAATATAATGGGAAAAAAACAATTGATGGTAAGTCAGAGAAACATAATGAAGAGAGGAATTATGAGTGTCTTTATGAAGAACAATGAGGAGCTTAGTCTCAGGAAGTAAGTTTGGAAGGGAGAGAGTGAGTGACACTAGAGATAAGTCAGATGGAGGTCCATCAATAGCCTAGAGGTGAGCATGAAAGGTAATTGATGTCAACAATGATACACTTGTAGAGGGTGTAGAAGAAGTGGTTCTTCTGAGGTACAAGATAGATCTAGTGGAAGATAGTAGAAAGGAATTGAAGGGGGAGGTGAGCAAATAGATTCAGAAGCAAAAGCGAATGGACTAAGTGTAAAGAAAGGGATTAAATAGACTTTAAATACCATTTTGAAAAGAAAGAGAAACAAGAAACATTGAGAGAATCCATGTGTTGGGTGCAGCCTGGAGAATATATTTATATTATGTGTCATCAACACAAAATCATTATTAAAGCAAGAACATAGTTGCCTAATAAACATAATTGACAAAAGTAAACTGTCCCAATATATATATTTATTTACATCTGAAATGTAAAAGAAATAAACATATTTAACCCATGTTGCAAGACACACATAACAGCAAAGTACTCTTTATGAGACTTGGACAATCCTCCTCCCTTAGGCTAGATTTTAGAATTGAGTTAGGCTTCATTGAATTCTAATACTTATGTCTAATTGTCATCTGGTGATTTTTTATTAATTTCTTTTACTGCCATTTAGTGTTATCAATTCAAAATGTTGCTAGGTCCTAAGTTCTTTGATTGTGGAGAACATTAGCCCATCTTAGCAAAGTGGATTATATCATCAATCTACTTTATCATGCTGGTAGACTGTGTTGTATAGTGATTTTTTATTTTTTTATGCAGCCTTTTCTCAACTTATATAAAATCTATTTAAAGGTTTTTAAGTAGTTTTAATGTCAGTTGTGTAATTTTGCTGTTAATTGATAGGTCAGCTTCAATCTGTCAAAGCTTAATGTGAGTTTCATGCATCGTGAACATGGTCTCTCTGTTGAAAATAACATCATTGGTATCCAATTTAAAAGCGTCAAATCACGATCTGCAAAGGATGTTGGGGAGAGTACACGTCTTCATTTTCAACTGGAGTTCAATGAAATTCATGTATGTTGATTTGTTGAAGCTCTTGTTGTATGATTTCCACTTTGCTTCTTGCTGACAAGTTCTCTATTGTTCCATTGACATTACAGCTTCTCAGAGAAGCTGCTGCTTCCATCTTGGAGATATTGAGGCTGAATTTAGTCTCTTTTGTGTATGTCCCTTTACAGGTAATAAGTTATAAGCAGTTCATATTACACACCTTTGTATCACTGTAAAATTGATACTCCCTCTAGTCCTTTTATAAGTCACCTTTTAGAAGCTTTTAGTGGTCCTTTTTATAAAAGCACCTATAGTTTCTATGAATCATTTATTATGTTTTTCCCATTTGTCTTTCATAAATGAAGTTGGTAGAAACCTAAATTAAAACTTACAAGGGTAAATGTTGATAATGGAGTTAGGTTTAATAGCATTAACTGAGGGTAAAATTGGCATGTTATAATATTTTTTAAAAAATTAAGAAACTCAACTAACTTTAACTACTTTTATTGGTTTGTATAGTTTAGCAAAAAGTATTTTATAAAAAGGACTAGAAAAAGTATTGTAGTGTTTATACCACTTGGTAAGGTTTTCTTAATATTAGGAGCAATAAAAAGGTAAAATATAGTTTATGTATAGAAAATTATTGCGAAACAAACTTCCTATGGAAGTTATGTCACCTTTAATCAATGAAGCACCAATATTTGCATTTGCTTCTCGAATCCCCACTGAATTCATATCCAATACCAATATTCTTGGAAACTTCAGCGATATGTATCTATGAACTATCCACTCCTTTAAAAAAAGTTGTGAAAATCAAAATCCGATATAGCTAGATATGAAACAAAGAAGCATGATAAAGATAGAAGCATTGTCTCTTGATGAACGAAAAATGGTCCCCTTTCCTCGGATGATGCTCAAGAAGGGAATGAGATTGATATTATTCTTGTTTGTAGGCAATAGGCAATAATTTACCATAACAATGATTTATAATTTTTTTTTGTTTTTTCAGCAATGTCCAAGAAGTGTGCCCTTGTCTAGGAAGAAGTTTAACGTTAAGATCCATAAGAGTATTAACAAGCTTAGAACCCATAACCCTTTTTGGTCTAGAATATTTAATATTTTCTTTGTTTGAGAGATCACAATACCACTCTTGGACTATGCCACTTCTATCCCAAAGATGTATCAGACTCAGCCATAGTCTTTGTCTGAAAGTAGTAACAAAGGTGTTGCCTTACTTATGCAATGCCATTGTGATCACTTCCTATAATGACTATTTTGTCTACGTAAACAATTAAGAAAATGCATCTTGTAATTAAATGATAAAATAAAATGGAATGATCAGCTTCACTTATAGTCATGCCAAACTATATGACCATTGTACTAAATTTGCCAAACTATGGTTGTGGTGATTATTTAAGACCATATAGTCATTTTCAAAGACAACACAAAAATCATAAAGACTCCCTCTGAGCAACAAACTCATGAGGTAGCTCCATACATACTCCTTTACTAACAAAACTATGGAGGAAAACATTTTTTATGTTAAGTTGATGAAGTGGCCAACAATAAATAACAGCCATAGAGAGGAATAGTTGAACTGAAGTCATTTTGGCCATAAGAAAAAAAGTGTCACCATAATTCAAACCAAAGATCTATATATAACTTTTGGCTACCAAGCGAGTCTTAAGATGATCAATATTACCATCAAGACTCACCTTGACCTTGTAACTTGTAAGTTCACTTGCAAACTTTTCAGAATGGAGAGAAATGAGGTTCCAAGTACCACGTGGATTTTGAAGGGCACACATATCAGTCATTGCTAGAGAGCATCACATGCAAACTTAAGAATGGAAACAAAAGTCAAGGAAGACAGAAAATTATAATAGTAAGTTAAAAAAACATAATAAAGAGAAGAATTACAAATAAAGTGTATACCTTTATGAATAGCAATGGAGAGCACAATCTTAAAGGACAAGTACGAAGGAGTGACAGTAAATGTGAGTTAGAAGAAGGCCCATTATTAGTTGGTAGTGGCATAGAAGGTAACTGGTGTCGATAATGATTCACTTACAAAGAATGTGGAGATGATTCTTTTGAAGTATAAGATGGATCTAGTGGAAAGGAACATATGAAGGAGGTGAGGAAGTAGACTCAAGCTAAAGCCAAAGGATTAGATGTAAAAAAAGGGATAGATTAAAAAAAAATAACATCAACTAAGACTAGATAACAACGAAGAGTCAGAAAATAACACTTATAACTTTTTTAAGACTGGGTGTATCTAAGAAAGACACATTAGCAAGAGAGAAGTAACAATTTATCAAGCTCTAAACTAAGGTTATGTACTTAGTAAGTGGATTCAAATACTTTAGAAGGTAAAGGCTGGAGAAATTGATAAAGGTATAAGACCAAATGAAGCACATGATTTTGAAGAACATCTGACAACATTCTATTAATTAGATAACAAATAGTAAGAACATCCTCTAGAAGCACTGAGAAACATGACTCTCATAATGGACTAGAGTACAAGCAGTTATATTAAGTGTCTATTTTTATGTTTAGCAACCTCATTGAATGATAAAAAACTTTACACCTCTCATTCTTATTACTTTTTCAATAACCATGAAAAATGAAAAATAAGTCATCTTATTCAAAACTCCATTTATGAAATCCCTTTTCTCCGACTTCACACCTCGGAACACATCGTTCTTATAGAGAGAGGGGTGTTTTCACATTTTCTTAAACCGAAATGGCTGGGGAGAGAAATGTTATTGTGGTTATCAGCATGAGAGGTGTGATGAAGGATGTTATTACAAGATATAAAACTTTAAAATATAGTCACAAGCATTGTCACTTCATGTAAAGTACGAATTGAAATATCAAATTGAGTTTAAATTTAAAAAGAGAAAGACTTGAAGATAAAAAAAAACACTCAAAACAATCTTTTATTAAAAATAATCAAGTACATCAAGAGTAATCATCTGTAAATGTAATAAGATATCTTGACCTTAAAGTGGGTATAATATGAATAGGACTTCTTACATCAAAATGAAATTTAGCAAAAGGGGAAGTGAAACGATGATTAACACAACTAATAAATGAATTATGGGTATGTTTTCATAATTGACATGACTTACATGTCATAGTTAATTTTGAAAGACTTGGTACCAAGTGTTGTAACTTGGCTAGATTAGGATGTCCTAATTGAGTATGAATGACAAGAGAAGAATTTACCAATGAACCAACATGAGCAAAGGTATTTATTTGAAATAGGCAATGAGAGAGACGTTTGGTTCCAATCATCCTCTTCAAACTTTGGTCTTATAGGAAAACAAAATCTTTAATGAAAACAATGAAACAATCAAAGAAACAGGATGACTAATGGATATTAAGTTAAAAGAAGACCAAGAGACATAAAGGATGTGATCAATGGATAGAGAGGGAAGAGGGTGGATAGTACTAGAGATGGTGTTTGGGACCCATTAGGTAGTAATGTAAGGTAAACAACTAGATGTAAAGATAGTAGAAAAAATAGACTTATTACCGGTAATATGCTTAGTGGCCTTAAAATGAAGGACTTGTGGGCTAAGAGAGAAAGAGTGAGAGACACCTACAAAAGAATTACTCATGTGTGCAACAAAAGTAGTGGAATTAGAAGAGAGAGAAAACTTGATCAAAGAAGGCATGTGTGAGTGCATGCGCAGACCCTGTTTACTGTGATTCTTGGGAGCGGGTCGATCTGGGGGCAACATAATTGATCCCGAGGGTGGTTGGCCAAAAAAGTTGCTGGTTGGTGGCAAATAGTGACCCACAAACGAGACATTTGAAATTCAATATTAAGCCAGCTGAGGAGCACAGGTTTTGGAAAAAGAATTCTGCACCAATGGTCAATGAACCCACTGGGTTATCACAAGGGTTGCTCTCTTTAGGCTCTACATACTATGCAGAGAAGAAAGAGGAATGAGACACAAGATAAATCTGTGCATCTTGGTTTACACCCCACAAAATATATTTTTATTATATGTCAGCAATTCAAGAATGATTATAATTAAAAGCAAGAATATACAGTTACCTAATAAACATAATTACAAGATCAAAACTGTCCTCTTACAATATTTACGTATTTCAAACATGAATATCCAACAAAACTAAGTGTGACCTCTTTCTTCATAGATAAAGCCTTTTTCTAGAGCTCCTATGATATCCTTTGAGTACAGAGTACAAACTACCACATCTCATCGATCCTAATTTGGGGAATGTAAACAATCCCCTTACAATATTTTCTATTGTGTAGGCAACTCTCACAAGGATATGAAACTATAATAGATAGATATTTTTTATAGATTTATCACTTTCATTTGATATGGACTATTATACTGAATTTTACTTTTTTTTTTTCTTGTATTTTCTGTGCAAACTGACTCTATTTTCTGGCCCCTTCCTCTAGTCAACCATGCCTGTCAGAGCTGAAACTGAAATCAAGCTTGGAAATTCACAATGCAATATCATAATGAGCAGATTAAAGCCTTGGTTGCTCCTGCATTCATCAAAGAAGAAAAAAATGGTACTTCAGGAAGAAGCTTCTGTTGCAAAACCCAAATCAACTAATAGCAAGGCCATTGTGTGGACATGTAATTTCTCAGCTCCTAAGATGACAATAATGCTTTTCAATATGGCTGGTTCTCCAGTATATCATGTAAGTATTTGCAAATATTATATTCTTCCTAATAAAATAAAATGTTGCTTCTAGTTATATATAGTATTGCATATGTGGTTATTGATACAAATTTAAAAATTTCACTTGAAATTAAAAAACAATTGTTCTTATTCACTAATATAATTTATCTTTTCAATAATTTAAATTTTGAAACAAAATTCTTAACTTACTATTTCTCAAAGCAATAATTTTTTTTATCAGTTATCATGAATTGAATTACTTATAAATATTTGAATTTAATTTACATTTTTAAAAGTTAGAACATATAAGAAATAGATTTGGTCGAAGGATGACACAACTTTATCAAGTATGGACTTAGAAGGAAGAAAATTATGCATGACTGACACGTGTCATTGGCTTCACTTGCATATACTATGCTTTATTTAATAATATATAGAAGTGTTAAAAAAGTTGACGCATTTCTCCTAGAAGTTGTTTGCAACAGATGCTAAATTTCTCACACACTATAATATGCTGCGAATTTCATGTATTATAGGACTTCGTTGATGTTCTGGAAGAATAGCTCACTCTTTAAACTAAATGATTTCTTGGATTTCTTCTCTACTATGGTGGCTTGAAATTTTCAAGGATCAACTATTTCAACAACTTATGACTGTATGTAGGAAAGCTGGTCCTTGGCATTGTAGGATCAAGGGATTTGATGATCAGCCCTTGTTGCCCCCATTCTTCACAACTACATTAAATTTCACAACAAAGGGGAATGGATTTGTGCATTGGGACCTTTACCCATGCTTATAAGTTATAACCTAAAGAACTTTTGTGTGAGGGGTGTGTTAGAGACATAAAACCATTATTATACCTCTACCTAACAAGCTTTTACGAGAGTTGGTCTTTGACAGAACACAGAAGTAATAGGAGTTGGTCTTTGATAGTTAGTCTGAACCTTGAGTTGTAAACTGTAGTGGGGCAACAAGAGATTTTACGTTCTAAACTAAGAAGCCTGAGAAGGGAAAAAAAATAGTAATGAGGAATAACTAGAAAAACAGGAGAGAAAAAAGTACAATGAAATTATCTAATTGCTACTTTGATATTTAGCCTGAACAAATCATGCATTTGATTCCCAAAATTCTCTGTTCTAATGATTTTGTGGTACCTGATTGGAAGTTAATTGTAACTTATTCCTAGAAACTCATTTTCAAATTTCAAATATCTTAGTTTTGAATCCATTTATTGCGTACATTTTCTTGCTGTTTCTTTTTGTAAGATATCTTTTTGAAGCAGGGCAGAGAATAAGCTCAAAGATCAAGTCATATCAGTATTTTGGTTTAGTTGTGAATTTGGGTGTCAGAATAAAATACTACAAAAGTTACTTAAATATTTGTTAACTGATGTCAAAACATCCTAACAGAATTTAGTAAAATTTATTGAAGTATATGTTCATCCCCAAAATCAAAACTAGTTCAAAATATTGAGATCATTCATTCATTTGATCGTGAACCCAGCCTTTCTGATGCTATTTCATCCTGCATTACTATTTCTCGTCCTTCTCATTTTCCCTTCTTTTATAAGGAAGCTCTAATATTATTTTGGCTTTGAGTAGTTTTACTGCTGTGGTGAGTTTGGTTTGTTTTCGGTTTCATTTTTATTACATTTACAAAAATGCCTGCCACCCTATTTTCACTACATTTCTCCTTTGCTGATTCTTGAAATCAGGAATTGAACTGAAAACAAGGTGATTTTTTTTTAATTATTGATTAAAATTACAAAGTAAAAGCTTCCAAATTTTATGTTTATCAGGTTGTATTATAGATGTACTAACATCATCATAAACTACTAAAAGAGAGATTTTGTAACAGCAACTTAGGTATTAGATTTGAGGTTCAAAGGATCATTTTCAATTATTGCTTGAGTCTTTTGTTGGAAGGGCACAAATTGATCATTTCTATTAAACGGAAGTTATGCGTGGATTGTTTAGAATCTTTGACTCTTTAAATTCCTTTAAAATGAAGTAATTATGTCTCCTATTTTTTATCATTTAAGTTCTATTGGATGAAGTTGTCCTATATGTTAATTCAAATAATTTGAGAAAAGGCATTTACTACAAAGCATCCATCTATTGCTTTCTAAATGTAGGGTTGCTTACAATCATCACATCTATTGGCAAACAACGTTTCAAATATGGGGACTACAGTGCATTTTGAACTTGGTGAATTATATCTCAACTTGGTTAATGAAAATCAAGAATGCTTGAAAGAAAGCATTTTTGGTGTGGATTTAAAATCTGGCTACATATTGCACATTACAAAGCTTAGCTTGGATTGGGGCAAAAAGGCCATGAAATCCTCTGAAGAAGATGTTCCTAGGTGTGTGCTAGGTTTATCAGTTGATGTCAGTGGCATGGGAGTTTATCTAACTTTTAAGCGTGTAGAATCATTCATATCAACAGCAATTTCCTTTCAAGTTCTATTGAAAAGCTTTTCTGCTTCAAAGAAAAAAATAACACAGAGCCGGGGCCAGTCATCAAAAAATTCAGGGAAGGGAACTCAAATGTTGACATTCAATCTTGAACAGTGTTCAGTATATGTACTGGGGGAGACTGGGTTAGAAAATGCAGTTGTTCCAGATCCCAAGCGAGTTAATTATGGTTCACAGGGTGGCAGAGTTATAATAAATGTGTCAGCAGATGGTACCCCACGCAATGCAAACATAGTGTCCACTGTTTCCAATGACCGCCAGAAGATAAAGTACTGTATTTCTCTTGAAATCTTTCATTTTAAGTTGTGCAAGAACAAGGAGAAAAAATCCACACAAATAGAACTCGAAAAGGTCAGATCTATCTATCAGGAATTTATGGAGGAAAATAAGCCAGTATCAAAATTAGCATTATTTGACATGCAAAATGCTAAATTTGTGCAACGCTTAGGTGGCCTTAAAGAGAATGCTTCATGTTCCCTTTTCAGTGCTACTGACATTACCATGAGGTGGGAGCCTGATGTACATCTATCACTAGTTGAGCTGGTTCTCCAGCTGAAATTAGTGATACATGATACGAAGCTTCGGGAGCATGGTAATGAACATGTGGAAGATGTGTCTAATGTAAGAGATGGTAATTCAAAAAACGAAGCTACTTTGGAATCAGGGCATCCTGAAAAGAGGAAAGAATCTATTTTTGCTGTTGATGTAGAAATGTTAAACATATCTGCAGAGCTAGGAGATGGAGTTGATGCTATGGTTCAGGTGCAGTCAATTTTCTCTGAGAATGCTCGTATAGGAGTGCTCCTTGAAGGACTTATGTTTAATTTTAATGGAGCCAGAATCATCAAGAGTAGTCGGATGCAAATTTCACGAATTCCTAGTAAATCTGCTAGTGGATCTAATACAAAGGGGTCTGTAGCTACAACATGGGATTGGGTAATTCAAGGTCTTGATGTTCACATTTGTATGCCATACAGATTGGAATTGCGTGCTATTGATGATGCTCTTGAGGATATGTTGCGTGGTTTAAAGCTTATCATTGCTGCAAAGACCCAAATGATTTTTCCTGTGAAGAAAGAGAGTTCTAAAATTAAAAAACCTAGTTCTGTAAAATTTGGATGCATAAAGTTTTTCATACGCAAATTAACAGCTGATATTGAAGAGGAGCCAATCCAGGGATGGCTTGATGAACACTACCAGTTGTTGAAGAAGGAAGCTGGTGAATTAGCTGTTCGGTTAAACCTTTTAGATGAATTTATATCAAGGTCCAAGCAAGATCCATCTACTGATGACAGCAATAATTCTTCTCAAGAAAAAAAAGTTTATTTTAATGATGTTGAGGTTGATGTAAATAATTCTTCAATTATTGAATCAATGAGAGAAGAAATTTATAAACAATCGTTCCGATCATATTACCAAGCATGCCAAAACATAGTGTTAGCTGAAGGATCTGGTTCTTGTACAGATGACTTTCAAGCTGGTTTCAAACCCAGTGCTTCAAGGTCTTCTCTTCTTTCAATATCTGCATTAGACTTAGACGTGAGCTTAACAAAAATTGATGGTGGAGATGATGGAATGATTGAGGTTGTGAGGAAGCTTGACCCTGTCAGTCTTGAATGTGATATACCATTTTCCAGACTATATGGGTCAAACATTCTCTTACGTACAGCTTCTCTTGTGGCCCAGATTCGAAATTACACATTTCCTCTCTTTTCTGGAAGTTCTGGTAAATGTCAAGGTCGCCTTGTGTTGGCTCAGCAGGTAATACTAAGAAATCTAATTTCTTTCATCATTTCTTTATGAACCTATAGTTTATACTGTTTGCATATTGTGGTCATCCTCAAGTTATGAAGATCTTGTTGACATATAGAATCATGATTTTGAACGGATTCAGTAAATAATTAACTGTGTCATATGTTTCCTGTTACTTCCTATTAAGATAAAACTACTTGTTACTTAAACTGAACTTCATATTTGTTTCTTTAATGATATTTGGGGGATTAATTACAGGATGATTAACCTGAAAATATTTCATCAGCATTATTCTCTTTTTTATTTCAATTAGGCCACTAGCTTTCAACCTCAAACACTTCAAGATGTCTATGTTGGGCGTTGGAGAAAGGTATGCATGCTTCGATCAGCTAGCGGTACTACTCCACCAATGAAGACATATTCAGATTTGCCAATACATTTTCAGAAAGGTGAAGTGTCATTTGGGGTGGGTTATGAACCAGTTTTTGCTGACATTAGTTATGCTTTCACTGTAGTGCTACGGAGGGCTAATCTAAGTGTTAGAAATCCTGGTCCACTTATTTTGCCACCGAAAAAGGAGAAGAGTTTGCCATGGTGGGATGACATGAGAAATTATATTCATGGAAGAATCTCCTTATTTTTTTCTGAAACAAGATGGAATATTTTAGCAAGTGCAGATCCTTATGAAAAGCTTGATAAACTTATAGTTCTGACTAGCTCTACTGAAATTCACCAGTCAGATGGTCGCGTTCTTGTTTCTTTCCAAGATTTCAAAGTTTTATTGAGCAGTTTGGAGAGTTTGGCAAACAAACGTGGTTCCAAAATTCCACCAGGTGTTTCTGGTACATTTTTGGAAGTCCCCATGTTAACACTTGAAGTTACAATGGACTGGGATTGTGACTCTGGCAACCCATTGAATCATTATTTATTTGCACTTCCAGTTGAAGGAAAGCCTCGCGACAAAGTATTTGATCCCTTCAGATCTACTGCTCTTTCCCTTCGATGGAACCTGTCTCTTCGATCCCTTCCTTTGTCAGAAAAACAATGTCCATCCTCTTTTGCAGGAGATCGTAAAGAAAAAAATGCTACTGTATCTGACCCTCCTCACAATTCTCAGAATGTTTCCCCAACAATAAAACTTGGTGCTCATGATCTAGCATGGATTACAAGATTCTGGAACCTGAACTACCTTCCCCCACATAAATTGCGCACCTTCTCACGTTGGCCTCGTTTTGGCGTTCCAAGAATCGTCAGATCAGGCAATCTTGCACTTGATAAAGTGATGACTGAATTCATGATCCGTATAGATTCCACCCCTATCTGTATAAAGAACATGCCTTTACATGATGATGATCCAGCCAAGGGACTGACCTTTGTGATGACAAAGCTGAAGTTTGAATTATGTTTTGGTAGGGGCCAGCAAAAGTTTACTTTTGATAGCAAACGTGACCTTCTTGATCTTGTTTACCAAGGTATTGACCTTCATATGCCCAAGGCTTTCCTAAGTAGAGAAGATTGCTCTAGTGTTGCTCAATTAATTAGCATGGCACAGAAAAGCCCACAATCTGCATCTGAAGATAAAATTTCCTCTGAAAAAGTTTATATGACACAGAGAAATCAGGATGATGGATTTTTGTTATCCTGTGATTACTTCACTATAAGAAAACAGTCCCCAAAGGCTGATCCTGCAACATTAGTAGCCTGGCGTGAAGCAGGAAAAGCAAATGCTGAGAAAACCTCTGTACAGTCTGAGTGTGAAAATCAAAATGAAACTGAAGAGCATACACATTCAGACCCAAGTGATGATGATGGGTACGATGTGGTAATAGCTGACAATTGTCAGCGTGTGTTTGTTTATGGTCTTAAGCTTCTATGGAATATTGAAAACAGAAATGCTGTTTGTTTTTGGGCTGGTGGTCTTTCCAAAGCCGTCGAACCTGCCAAACCTTCTCCTTCTCGGCAGTATGCTCAGAGAAAATTATACGAGGACAAAAAACAGCATGATGTAGCTGAAACCCACAAAGATGATGCATGTAAAACCGATCAAGATGAAGGAGCTGAAACCCATCAAGATGATGAAGCTGAAACCCATCAAGATGATGAAGCTGAAACCCATCAAGATGATGAAGCTGAAGCCCATCAAGATGAAAAAGAAGATGAAAAAGCTGAAGCCCATCAAGATGAAGGAGCTGAGTCCAATCAAGAAGAAGTTTCTAAATGCCTAAACACCAGTAACATAGATTCTCCCTCTTCTCAGACAGGGAATTCTGGATTGCTTTCATCTCCATCACATTCTGTTAATGTGGACAACTTATCATCTGGTAAGTGTCATATGCTTCAATTATTTTTTTGGCAAATGCTTTCAATTTGGACATGCAGTAAAACAAACGATAAATAAATACATCACTGAATGTGACTTGTGCCACAACAAATATTTTCACTGGTCGCCAGATCCTTGATGTATTTTTGCTAACCACCATTGGTTTATTTATGCCTTTCAATTCCCTTTTTTGTAATTTGCCAGGTAAAACTGAGACTGCAAATGACTCAAAGGAGGGAACACGACACTTCATGGTTAATATTATTGAACCACAGTTTAATCTTCATTCAGAGGATGCAAATGTAAGTTAAAATTATTTTTTCATTTTAAGTAGCTCATTCAGGCAGAGACATGGGGAATTTTAATTATTGACCTTGCCACTTAAATTCGTGAATCTAGATTAAAACAAGGCTTAAATATGTTTTTGATTCTCACATTTTAGCGAATTTTTATTTTAGTCTTTTCAAACCTTTTATTTTCCTTACTTTTTTTATAAATTTTTGTTTCTAGTCCCTAATGCTGATCTGGTCCATTGAAATATTATTACGTGTCAGTTTTTTGTTTGACTACATTAGCATTAGGGACTAAAATAAAAAATTTATAAATGACGAATGCCAATCAAAGGTTGTCAAAGGATCTTCAATTTATTCACCAAACCACTCCAAGTTTAGCCTAAAAGTCAGCACAGAAGTTTCCTTCTGTAGAGTGTGGTTTAGCCTAACCTCCCAATCTCTAGCCATCAGGTCTTTGATACTATAGATGATAGTGTAGTACTTGTGAAAAGTAGAAGTTAGCTCTTCGATACTACAAATGATAGTGTAGTACTTATGAAAGTAGAAGTTGGCTTGGATATTAGGTTGATAGCTTCCAAGCAGTCTGATTGATGTTGCACAGTTTGGTAACCTCCCAAACAATTAAATAAATCGTCAGCAGGGTATTAAAAGAGCATTCTCATTTTAATGCCTTACAATATTTCTGTAAATATGTTTAACTGTGTATTTACTTTATTTCCTTTTTTAGCTTAATCTAATTTAGGTAGTTATTATAATATATTCTTTCCCTAATTTAGGGTGTTGATTTTTTATTTTTTAGTCAATCACCTGTTGTAATTTTTCTTCTATAAAAATGAGGAATTCTTGTACAATTAAAGTGTCAATAATATTCAGTTATTCAACTTAAATGAACCCGAAAACTGAATGATGATCGAGGACAGTGGTCAACCTTACTCCAAGTCATACCAAACTGCTGAATTGTTGTGCTGAACTTTTCAAACCATACCCTAGAAGACTATTTGAGACCATATAAAGACTTGAGCAGATGAATGACTAGTCCCAAGTACTCTCCCTAAGAAACATATATATCTCTTCCATGATATCACCATGTAGGAAGACATTACAGTTGTAGACAAGAACAAGCCAACAAAATGCATTTTGATAACAACAGAGAAAGTATCACCATAATTCAACCCAAAGATCTGCGTATAACCTTTAGCTACCATCCTTACATTAAGTTTGTCAACTTTGCCACCAGCTCCAACTTTGATTGTAAAGATCTATCGACAACCAACAACTAATTTCTCTAGTGGAAAGGGACTGAGGTCCCAAGCACACTCATCACATCAATCATAGGGTGTCACCAACTAGGATGGGCTAAGGTGTTGTAAATGGTTCATATTTGAGTGAAAAATAAAATAGAGAATTTGATAAACTGAGAGAGTATTTTTATTACTTCAATTGAATTGTTCCAAGAGGAGCCACTCTTATATAGTGGAGAAAAGTCACTATGAAAGCACGAACAAACCAAAAAATTACCTAACAACAGTAACTGATTAACAAAGGTCAGTTTTGACTAACTAGTAACAATTTGAGTTACACTCTAGTTAGTACCCCCTGTTCAAACTCAAGGTGGGGAGTAGCATTCATAGTGCACAAACTGAGCTTGGGTCTAAGAGCTAAGAAATGTGTAGAAGGCAAGGCCTTGGTGAAGATATCAGCCTATTGAGCTTCTATTAGAACATGAGACTTTAGCTGATTATTGGGCACCTTTTCAGAAACAAAGAACAAATCAAGTTCCATATGCTTAGTCCTTGCATGTAGAACAGGATTGTGAGACAAAGCAACAGTACTTTGGTCATCACCCTAAATAATAGGAGTAGTGATAGGAACTGCAACTTCAATAAGTAAACTTTGGATCCATAATAGTTCAAAAATGGGAAGAGCAAGACTGCAAGATCCTGCTTCAGTGCTTGAGGGAACCACAATTTTCTGCTTCTTGCCCCACTAGGAAATCAGATCAGGACCAAAATACACAGACCCCAGAGGTTGAGCACCTGTCATCCAGGTCAGAGAGGTCTAATCAGCATCAAAATAAGCCATGGGAGAGTAGAAACTGGGAGAATCTGCAGCCTGAAGTTTGAGTCCAGCAGTATCTGTGCCTTTTAGGTATCAGAGAATGCACTTGATAACTGACTAGTGAGAATCTAAGGGATTAGACATATATTGGCTGACCTAGTTGATGGCGAAGGTGATTTCAGGTTTGTTGCCGGAACAGCCATGGCCCCCCTAAAATTGTTTTCTTTTTCTAATATATATATAATTTTTCTGTATGGATCTTTCAATAAAATAAAATCATAAAACATATACATATTTTAATTGCTTTGGCCCCCTCAAAATATCTTGTGAAGCTCCACCAATGTAAGGCACCAACAACTAGTCTGTAATAGAAATGCCATGAAGAGGACTAGACCCTTCCTATATCATTATCCACCTCATCTTTTTATTCTCTCAAACTTTTTCCCTCTACTCTTCCATTTCTCTCTTTTTGCTCTAATAAAAATTTCTTTATGTAAAAGAAATTAAACATTTCTTGTCAGGCATCCTTTCTATCTTTTTTCATGTGTTACTTCTTTTTTTATAAATTTGCAAGAGAATGCAAAAGAATGTGACATGATTATGTGTGTACTAATGCTTTCACAGGGTAGGTTTTTGCTTGCTGCTGTAAGTGGCCGCATTTTAGCCCAATCGTTTCATTCAGTCCTCCATGTTGGTTATGATATGATTGAGCAAGCACTTAGTACTGCAAATGAACATAGTAGTGAACGCCAACCTGAAGTTGCATGGAAAAGAATGGAGTTGTCTGTTATGTTGGAGCATGTGCAGGCCCATGTTGCACCAACAGATGTTGATCTTGGGGCTGGAGTGCAGTGGCTACCAAAAATTCTCAAAGGCTCTCCAAAAGTCATGCGTACAGGTGCTCTTCTTGAGAGAGTTTTCATGCCTTGTGATATGTACTTTCAGTTCACTAGGCACAAAGGAGGCACTCCAGAACTAAAGGTAATTTTTTTCTATCATGGTAATATCCTAGCCTGTGATCAATTTATTGGGAAATCCAAAGCTCCTTTTAAGGGGAAGTCTTTTATCTGAACTGAAGTACTGAATGATTTGCTGTGATTCAGAGACTAGAAACAGACATGTCCTTAATGTGTTTTGTACATAGGCAATTCTGAATCCATGACGATGTATTTACATTGTTCAATTGCAATTTTTTGTGGAATAGGCTGTTTAGTGTTTTGGTGGAATATTGGTTTTGTGCTATATCTTTTTGACAATAAGGTTTAAAGGGTTTGTTTGAAGGAAAATGATCATGAATTGTGCTGTTTTCACTATTCTGTGGTACATCTGAGAACATCCGATTGCCTAGGGGTACATCCGATTGTGCTGTTTTCGCTATACTGTGGTACATCTGAGTACATCCAATTACGCATACCCAGGATTGCACATATAGAGCATGAATATTATAGGACCAATTATATATATTGCATAGGGTAGTCGCGGGACCATGTAGATTGCACTGGAAACATCCACAAGGCCAAGTTAATTGCTTTGGAAAAATTCATAGGGTCATTTTTTTCTCCATTCACTGGTGACCCAATATTGGATATATGAGACTTAAATATCATCTTGAATTTGAGTTTGGAGCTAACTCAGTCTCAACCCCAAAAGCTAGCTTATAAGCCAAGGATTGCCTTAGCCTTTTTAAGTTTTATTTATCTGTAGTTGATATGGGATATCGAAATAGAAAAATAAAGTTTTGGCTTCTCTTTGGCGCTTGTCTCGTGTATTTCGAAGGGGTTTTCCAATTGTGCACTATTATTAAGTATTGTTTTGCTGGTTCTTTTGAGTTTCCTAGTTTTATTTTGGATGATGTACACTGCAGGTGAAACCCCTGAAGGAACTCACTTTCAATTCTCATAATATAACAGCAACAATGACATCACGCCAGTTTCAGGTCATGCTGGATGTGTTGTCCAATCTGCTCTTGGCACGGCTGCCAAAGTATGGACAACCATTCTTTCTTTTTACTCATTTTCTTAATTTACTTTTATCTGTTTACATACTTCAGTTACTCTTGTATGTTTACATTCTTAATTAAGAAACTTGGACCTAACTCACTTCTAAAAGCTAGCTTATTGGAGGAGAACTACCCAAGCTCTTATGAAGAGTATTTTGGCTCTATTCCTAGCCAATGTGAGACATTTTAACAACACCATCTAGTACTCAATCAAATTTAACAGTATTAGGTAAATTTGGTTATTCCATCTTAAATGACTACATAGGTAGGATCGCTATAATTTCTTCATGGGGGTATTCAGGAGTCAGATCTATTAGATGTTATGTATGGACAGATCAAGCTGGGTTTTTGTTGGTTTTGTTATTTTGTGTGGTCATGTTACATATTCAGCATTATCTTTGTATATTTTCAACTTTTAAGTTGCTTTTTTACTGCAGATACTAACCTGATATATGGTGTTTGATGTTTATTGATGCTGCAATAATTTTCCATTTAAATTCATTTTTGGTTTAGGGTTTAATTTAGATAATCCACATATTTGGTTTTAATTTAGATAATCCATAGTTGAATTATATGATTCTTACCTTGATGTAGTCTCTTTTTTCCCCTTCAAGAAACTTAAATCCAAGATGTTCTGTTATATGAAGAGTCCTTCAAATTAACTAAGTATATAATATACAACTTAGGCCTCAAAAAAGTAGCCTGTTACTTTCTGTTGAAGATGATGAAGAGGTCCAAGACGAAGCGGATGAAGTGGTACCTGATGGTGTTGAAGAGGTGGAACTTGCAAAAATCAACCTTGAAGAGAAAGAGAGGGCACAGAGGTTGCTTCTTAATGATATAAGAAAACTGTCTCTTTGGTGTGACCCTTCTGGAGACCCAAATCCAGAAAAGGAAGCAGACTTGTGGATGATAGATGGTGGAATAGCCATGCTGGTAAGAAACGAATCTTGTTACAAATCCTTTATATGCATCTAAATGGATGGTTCCTCTCCAACAATAGATGCTTATTCTTTGAATTAAGTTGTTTCTATCTGCCAAAATTAGATAAGGCTAGTACTTTGCATGTTAATATTTTCATGGTTGTGGTACTTAGAAAAATATTTGTATCCACAAGCAGAAGTTGATAAGCTTCTTAGCTGTAATTATAAATTGATGATAAAAAAGAAAGTCATTATTTTTATAAGGGAAGTATTGTGTAGGAAAAGGAGAACAAGTTAGCCTGCTTAAAGCTTAAACATTGGAAAACATTGAAACTATTGATACAAAATAATTTCCCATAAAGAAATAGCCATGCTTTCTACAGTTTGAAACAGATTAACAGTACGAATTGAGTGATTTCATTGTTTATACTGCCCGAATGTTAATTGTAGGTGGATATCATCTATTACTTTAGCTCAGACATTCTCCTAGTTGTTTTTTTTTTATATCATTGTTTCCTATTATATGTTGTGTATATTAGGAATAGGAACCAGTCCATTCCTTGTATATGATATAATCTCTTAATTTAAGTTGTACAAATTAGGAATTAGAATTATTGTCATTAATGGCTGTAAATTAGTCAATATTATATATGGACAAGTACAGAATCAATGGGATTACCAGGTCAAAATTTCTTGACATCACCTTATAATACTCCCTCTAGAAGTGTCACCTTGTCCTCAAGGTGAATCAATTTTGGCAGCTGAAAACTAGTTGCCATTCTTACTACTTATCACCTCAACGCCTAAGAATTTTTTTCATTATGTCCAAATCCTTAGTCTGGAACTATAAAGAAAATTCCTGAGTTTTCTAATAACAACTTCCTTAGTTACCTTGCTACTGTCACAGTATGGTTCTTTGCCCTTTTTGTCAGGAGTCTGGAATTTGGGGATCTGATGCTGTCACAAGCATATTATTTCTATCACTATGTGATCAAACTTTCTTTGAGATGTGTAGACTATTTTTGTTGTAGATATATGCTGAATTTAGTATATGACAAATTGGCATGTGTAATCAAAGTTGTCCAATACTGGCAGGTTCAAGGTCTGAAGAAAGAACTTGTAAATGCACAAAAGTCTAGGAAGGAAGCATATAAATCCTTAAGAATGGCTATGCAAACAGCTGCACAGCAGCGGTTAATGGAAAAGGAAAAAAACAAAAGTCCTTCCTGTGCTATGCACGTATCATTGCAAATTAACAAAGTTGTTTGGAGCATGCTTCTTGATGGTAAACACTTTGCTGAAGCTGAGATCAATGACATGGTAAGAATTATTCTGCAAACCTTAATCCATCCCTTCTCTCTCTGTTTATCCTTCCAAAACTCATTGAGTCCCCTGGAAAATCTGTTTCTCACGGGTATGAACTGCTGTCTCAGCATCAAATGATCTCAGCTTTGAGTCTAGCTTCATATGAATTAGATAGGTTCTAAAAAATTCATGCTTTAAGTGTCAAATTAGCTCCATTGACTTTATATAGAATGCATTACAACATCTCTAATAATGCTCTTCTACCCTTGCATATTATTGAATCTATAAATTTCTTATCCCTGCATGTTATGGGGGACAGGAAAAAATTACCATGATCTTTTTATTTTAGTTGTTCTTTCATGTCCTTATTCCTATGCCTGAGCATATAATGATTCGTTTCTAATCACTAGTTTTCTAACTTTTTTTGTTCATTTATTCTTTTTCTCCCTCAGTTCACAAGAATATACTAATTCAGTTTTATTCTGCTAATCACTTAGATCTACGACTTCGACCGGGATTATAAGGATGTGGGAGTTTATCTGTTTACAACAAAATATTTTGTTTTCAAAAACTGCCTTCCTAATGCCAAATCTGATACAATTCTTTCAGCATGGAATCCTCCACGTGATTGGGGAAAGTATGTAATTTTTCCAAGCCTTTTCTTGAATGTACTGGTAGTTGATTTTCTGATATTTTTGCTTTCTGTTCCAGAAGTTGTCTTAATTTCTAGAGATAGGGTAAATTCTGATAGCTTTTAAGTTTGAGTCAACATCATTGTCACCCCTTCGATTTCGATGCTACTCTCTCTCTTTAAGGTTCAAATGAAAAGGCATACAGAAAGCTCCTGGAAAAGTATAACTAAAATTACAGAAGTTACATGTACTATTGAAATTATAGGGGTAGATGGACTGAGAAGAAACAAGGAGCACTGGTGAATAATTTTATTTGGTTATAAGATTGATGATACCTTTTTCTATTGCTACAAAGGTTAGTGCCATTTTCTATCTCCTTATCTTCAGAGTATCTTAATATTGCATGTTTTCTTTTGTTTTTTTTTTTCCCAGAAAAGTGATGCTTCAAGTTGATGCAAAGCAGGCAGCTCCAAAGGACGGAAGTTCTCCCTTTGAACTTTTCCAGGTAAACGCTTTCTTATGGTTATTTTGTTCCTTAAAATTAGTACGGTTTGGTGCAGAATAACAGAATCCATCTCTTATCCTAATTTGAATTTTTCATATTTTTACAGCCGTTGCTTAAAATTCAGACCATATGTAATTTATTAGTTTTGTGTAGACCCTGTCCAAGATAAAATAATTTTAGACACTTTACTTGTATAGAATTACAAATGTACGATAGTCTCTAAATATTGGAGAGAGGGCAGAATATTAGGGAGCAATTGTTGAAGTGAATCTATTAACTTCATGAGAGAAGAAAATGATAGAGTTTCTAAGAAACAGATAGAAAAGAAAGAAGAGAGAATTTGTTTTTCATATTTCAGAATCGAGTTATAATACAGTAATACAACTGAGCTATGTAGAGTTATTTGATGCAGCTATAGCTAGATTACAGTGACAGCTGGACTAACTGACAGCTAACTAACTCAGGTATATTCCAGTGTGTAGAGGATGGGGAATCTGTTGAGTAGAAAGGGAGTGAGGTTTAAAATATTATTTGAAATATTTGCACAGAAAGCCAATACTAAGCCTTTTATGTCCTAACATAACCATACTTTACGCTATAGGTAGAGATTTATCCCCTCAAGATCCATTTGACAGAGACAATGTACAGAATGATGTGGGGGTATTTCTTCCAAGAAGAAGAACGAGATTCACAGCGCCGACAGGTTAATTTAGAATTTCAATTCGCTCATTGACTTGTTTCCACAACCAAGGAAAAAATTAATAAATATTTTGTGTTGAGTCAAAATAAATGTTTGCTTATGTAGGAGGTTTGGAAGGTTTCAACCACAGCTGGCGCAAGGCGTGTTAAGAAAGGTTCATCAGTCCCTGAAGCTTCAACAAAAGAGTCTGAGGCCTCATCCAGATCTGCCATCACTGCAATGCTATTTCCTACAACCAGTCAGCCTTCTGCCCAAGTTGATTCAGCCCAAGTGAGTTTTTAATAAATTGTCTAGTAAACGGTTCTTAAGTAATAATATTAAGGAAAATGCTAGTAACACAATCTTTGATATTCCCTATCCAACACACTCTTTTATTGGGTGAAATCTTATTTTGACCCACAGATAGAGAGAGGGGCTAGCATAGGATTCATCCAATAATGGAGGAAGTATTGAAAGGGGAGTATAAAAAAAAATGTATTGCTATCATTCCTTTGATAATATAGGATACTGTATAGGCTTGCCATCCTACATTGATAGTAAAGCTAGGGAAGAATATAGCTTCTTATTTCCTCTATTTTTTTTTTCCTGCTCATTATACTAGTTTATAATATGTTAAGACGCAAGAGATATTTACCACAAGCTGTTTGGTTACATGCTTGTAGGCATCCAGAGCAAAAATTGTCAAAGGTAACCCTGGTACTGGTCCAAACCCTGAGTTGAGAAGGACATCTTCTTCTGATAAAACATGTGAAGAGACTGTGGCAGAATCTGTAGCAGATGAATCACAAAACTTTTCTTCATACAAAAAGGGGGCATTTGGTTCTAGTGAGCAACAAGATGAAGCATCCAAGAATAAACCAAAAGATTCAAAAGGAGTCAAAGCTGGTCGTTCAACTCTCGAAGAAAAGAAAGTAGCTTTGCCACCCGAAGAGAAGAGATCTAGGCCACAAAAGATAATGGAATTTCACGACATCAAAATTAGTCAGGTTGGTAGTCATTTTGGATCATTCGATTAAGTTGTTACTTGTCACAATTCACCACCTGCATTGACATAATTCAAAATTCTGGCAAATCATATATTATTTCTTGCAGGTGGAATTGTGTGTAACATACGAAGGGCAAAGATTTGTTGTGAATGATTTGAAATTGTTGATGGATCAATTTCACCGAGTTGAGTTTACTGGGACTTGGCGAAGACTCTTCTCACGAGTTAAGAAGCACATCATTTGGGGAGTCCTAAAGTCTGTGACCGGAATGCAGGTGATGAATAGTCTTTTCTCCTTCCATTTTGTTGTTAGCTAGAATGACTGTATAGCCCTAGTGTTTTCCATTTTAGACATATATGCTATTATGTTAGGTAACCTCCATTAGTAGTTAGTTGTGATAGTTAGGGCCATTAATAGTTAGTTACAATATATATTTATTAGTTAGCCTAATAGTTGGGCTGGCTAAGACTGCAGAAGAAATAAGGCATATTGCCACCATAAATAAGAGGGTGGTAGAGAGAAAGATCTTGTCAATTGTGAGTCAGGGCCTTTGGCTTAGGAGGTGCAGTCCCTCAAAGAAGTGTTGAGTGTGTCTTATATTCTGTAAAATAGGGAGTTTCTCCTTGTGTTTCCTAATAAAGATACCAGGTTTCCATCATGTTCATACCTACCACTTCAAATTTATGAATACATTCTAAAACAACCTTGAGCGAAACTGTTATTTTCATGATTCCCTTTAAAATGACCTTTGCCAATCAAAAAAAGCATACTGTGTTAACTGCATTGATCTATTTTTGTAACAGTCCCACGTTGGTTGCATTGATATTTAATATTTTTGTATGTCATGTACGGTTTCTGTATCAAGGAATAATATTAACTTATCAAGTCCTTTTCATATCTTTCCCATTCAAGTTGGTATTGGAGCTCCCGATCTCAGACTTTGTCTTCATTGCAGTTGTCAAAGTTGTCACCATCATTACGGCTGATCTTACAATTATTTGCACCTTCATCATATTTCAGTTTGTAATATTAACCTAGCTTGTTACTTTGTATCCACATTGACTATGCTATTATATTCACAGCCATGGGAATTCCCATAGCCTGCAAGCGGATATCTCTGAACTTAGAAAGACCTGAATTTTGATTAGACAACACGATCCATGGCTGTGGGAATTCCCATGTCCAGCTAATGGAGCTCTCGGAACCTTAGTTTTGATTTTATTTCTTATTGGGCTTTCACCATAGTCATGGGCAACTCCACTAGCACCCAATGGACTCGTCTAGGGGTCCAAATTCTTATCTTTTAAGCTTTAAATTGCTTCAAATTCTCCTTTATCTTTTCATCTATGCATAAACACACAATGTAGTAGTTATCTAAACTAATTAAAGAAAAAAAATACTAAATCTAAATAAAATGCATTTTTTATCAAGCATTTGGGTATTGATTATGCTTTAGTATTATGCTAAATACATTAATCCCAAATACTTAAACATGGAAACATGTGTTATTATGTCATCTTCAATTTTAACTTTTAATACATAATAATCATCTTATTTCTTGCTAAAATTGCAAGGCATATAATCTATTATACTTTTACTCGAGCAAAAATTCTTAGACTTTAAAATTTTCCTACAAAGCTCCAGTTTAGAGTCAATCTCTTCTTTTGATTCCTCAACAAGGACTATATCGTTCGCAAAAAGCATATATTTAAGGATATTTTTTCATGTCACTTGTAAACACATTTAAGATTAAGTTAAATAAATAAGGACTGAAAGTTGAGCCTTAATGTAAACCCATCCTTATAGAGAAGTCACACTTGTGATTATTCCAGCATACATATCTTGTATAACTCAAATATATGTCACACAAACCCCTTTCCTTTGTCTTTCACGACACTTCTTTTGGAAAATGATCATATATTTTTTCCAAGTAAATAAAAATCATATGTAATTTTTTTTTTGTATTGGTACTTTATTGTAAATTATTTTACTATTAGGGTTAGTTAACCTAGATTTAGCCTTATGTTCGGAAGTGATTATTCAGTTTACCTATAGATTCTAATGATATGTGCAGTTTCAGTATCAAGGAGTAATATTCAGTTCTTTTCATATCCTTTATATTCAAGTATATGACAATCTTTGATTGTTCATACTGAACTCATTTCAATATCTTATTGCCATGGACCATGTACATGTAGGGTAAGAAATTTAAAGACAAAGGTCAGATTCTGCCCCCTGGAGCTGGTGTTCCAGAAATGGACCTTAATTTTAGTGACAATGAAGGCCAGGCAGGAAAATCTGATAAGTATCCACCATCTTGGCCTAAGCGTCCAAATGATGGAGCAGGTGATGGATTTGTGACATCCATTAAAGGACTATTTAATACTCAACGCCGCAAGGCAAAGGCATTTGTGCGCAAGACAAAAAAAGGAGAAGCAGAAAATGAAAATCAAGGAGATTGGAGTGAAAATGACTCAGAGATCTCTCCTTTTGCTAGGCAGCTCACAGTCATAAAAGCTAAAAAGCTTGGTAAGCGGCGCACTGCAAAGTTGCAAGCTAAAGGACAAGAAGGTTTGTTCTTGTGTCACTTTATTGCTTGTTGATTACTTAATTCATTATTATTTGTAGACATTTTTTAATGATTTGGATATGATAAAAAAAAATTAATATATTATTAGCAAGAAAGGAGATAATGCACTTCAGATCAAAAGTATATTATTTGGAGGAAAGGAAATCCTCCTCAAAGAAAACAACCAAAACAAAAGCAAGCCAAAATGGCTCATGAATTCAATAAAACATTAATCTCTTAACTGATAACAGAAAGCCCTTGAAAAAAGCAACATAATCATTATCCTATTCCCCCACAAACGTAAAGGCAAAGACATCTAAAAATGCATGCAATCCTCTCTGACATCAAAGAACTGCAAAAGCTGCCACTGTCACAGACTAAACCTCCTTATTCTTTTCAAAAACCTTTAATCGTATAACTAGAAGCTTCTCCAAGGTGATAGGATACACACACAACATTCATTAAGAATCTTAAGTAGGTTATTCCACAGAAAAGTAATCATTTACATACAATACAGAGATGATCAGGCTATTGTTGCTGAGCTAGACCTAAGAAAGAGCTGTTTGAGATCCAGTCTGCAATATGTCATTTGAACTAGTACTGCTGGCTACACAGTAGAAAACTTTGTAGGGAGTTTTGGACTTCCAAATGCCTTTGTGTAGGAGAAACCTATTAAGAGAAAGTAAGCATTATGGAGAAACCCTAATTTGTGTAGATGAATCAATCAAATACAGCGTTCGCTGATATCGTATATTACTCAGCAATATGGTAGCACAAGGTAAAGTATACTACAGTGGTACAATAATTTATGTACATGAAAAAAGAAAATGAGAAAACTATGCTATACATATCTCTACACAACTGTTATTACCTGGAATCCATCTTGCCAAATCCAATTTGCTTCTCCTCTTCATGCTTCTGCCAAACTCCTAGGATCTCCGAGTAAGAGGATGATGAGGGTGTACCTACAAAGACTTTGATGCTTAAGTGAAAGAGGGACCTCACAGATTTAGCGAATATTAGTTAGTGGGACAGGATGGTCCTACTTGGGAGGGGAGGTTACCCCTAATATAATGGTTAGAGGCAATGAAAATAAAGAAGGTTGTATCCCAATTAAATTTGTCAATCATTGAGTGTGTTTGGCACAGCCCTTTGTAGCAATTTAAGTTAGCTATTATCATATTTGACTAGTTTAAAAGTTTGCTTGATTGAAATAGACTTGTTTGGTAAATCTGACTTATTTTAAGAGCTTGTAATGATTTACGCTAGATACTAGCATTTTATAAAATGCTACTTTAAGTAGTGTTTTAGTTTATAATCTCACAGCTTATTGTTTTTCTTGCAATTATTTTATCCTCGTCGTTTTATCATAATCCTATGTTTACCCTTATTTTCTAACAAACCCATGATGCACTATTTTTCATAGTTCTAACTTTCAACTTCCAGCTAGCATATCCACTAGTTTTGCCAAACACCCATTACTTTTGTTGAAATAAGGAAAATAGTTTAATTAGAAACCACATTTCTCTGATATCAGGATCTCCTAAGTTCATGAGTTAAAATATGAAAAGTGATCAATCTGGGATTCTCATGGATCTTGGGATAATGATCCAGACCAACCTTTGATGATTAGGATTGTACGAGGAAACACACCAGAAAAAATCAAAGACAAATATCTTGTATCAAAATTGGAGGAGAGATGAGTAGAAATCAAGAAATGCACATAGGATTTTTAATCGTTAGTTTCTCTATCACTTCATTAAATTCCAAGTGAATGAGTTAAGTTAGTAAGTTTATTTTAGAAATTATTTTTTGTAGGAATAGAATAGTGTTTCAGCTCAGGATTGTCCTTCAATCTGTTTGCCAATGTGTTATATCCACTCACTTAATTTGGTTGCCTATCCTAATTATTTTTTCAGGGTTATCTATTTACTTGGGTAGTATTTATACCCTAAGATTCGTATTATATTGGTTTCTTGAGTCTAACCCTTAAAACATACCGATATTATCCTTCACAGCTGGCTGCATGTCGCTTATATTGTGCTGTTTGGGGTTCTATGTTGAAATTTGTCTGTGCTTGGAAAACAAATCCCAAGTCAGATGAAATATTTTGATAATTTATCGCAGCCAATCAATCCCTTTCTTGTTGACTTGATAGCTCGACTTTTACAGGTTCGCCCTCACAACAAACAGAAGCACTACCATCATCTCCAAAAGAGACAATTACATTTGACAGTGATTCTTCAAGTGGATCCTCAACCTATGAAATTGTTCAAGAATAGTTTATCCAAAGGAATTCTACTTTTCATCTGACTACGTTTTATCCGGTTCTTTAACTAAAAGGATGCAAGATCTTGACGGCTGATCTTTCTAATCAGCAGGTACGTCAGATATACACCTAAGCAGAAGACAACTTAGAAGTTAGGGACATCAAAATTGGAAAGAGAATTTTGGACTCAACATTTGGATAATGCGTGATTGATGCTAATTTCTATTCAGTGTGTGTCCGTTAACCTTAGTAATTGTCGATAAAGAGCCTTGCATTCATCTCTTCTCTGTTAAAAATAGCTTTATGGTAAATAAGTAATTTCGATTTCCTAAATATTTCAGAAAATGGAAGCTTGAAGGTTGACATGACCATAATTTCAAATTTATAACAAATGCTTAAACATTTATCTAAATTAGGAAACAATAGTAGAATAAATAGTGATAATGGTGCCCAAAAATAAAAAAACTCGTGAAGGCATCAATGAACCACGAATGAATGCCAAATTGTGTTACTCACACTTCAGATATAAGCAACTCCACAGAGAGAAAGGATTTAATTTTAAAAGCATTATTACGTGTTTTTCTTCTTTAGGACGAAACCCAAATCTGAAAACTTATTGGGTTAAATACACAATAACTTTATGATTTTGACTAAACAGTAACTCAAATAAAAAAATTGTTTAAATTAATGTTTGACGGTTCCTCCATTTGTTTTTTGAACATTTGAAGTGAAAAAGTAAAGTTACCTTTAAGAGGTTTGACTATATTGTGCTTGAATTAAGCATTTATGTATGTAGATACGAAATACTTTGGTCATGTTAAAATTATATAAGTATAGAATTGTGATATTGAAAAAAATACGACTACTTGTACCTGCCAATAAGTAACAAAGTATTGAAAATCTCAAAACATTGTCACTTACATTATACAGTAATTAAAATAAAAAAAATGAGTATTTACCGTCAATTTAGATAAAGAGTTGGATAATGAAAATTTAATTTTTCACCATTGCATCATCATTTTTTAATATTTTATTATTAAAAATTAATATTTATAAAAAAATTTAAGAAATATTTAATTATTTCAAAAATAATAATAATTAATCCAAATTATATTTATTCAATCTTCTCTCTTCACATCAAACTCAAGCTAGGAAGGTAGGGAGGGTGGAAGAGTTGGGAAGAGAATCAAAAAGGGGGACGAGGGGAGAGAGAGAAAGTTTGTGAGGTGAGGGAAAGAGAGCACGTTTCTTTAAACAAAAGTATAAAACTTGAAATTCAGTTCTCGTCTTAACAAAAAAATATGAATCTCAAAAAAGACAAAAAAAAAAATGATAGCAGTAAAACAAGAATGTTGATTCAATAATTCTTAAGAAAATAAGATGTTATTTAAATAAAAAAATATTGCTTCAAGAGATAACAATAGAGTTTATTTACAAAAATTTAAAATTCTACAGACATAACATACTCTTAAAAATTTAAGAGATAACAATAGTCAATACATGTATTTTTAGTTATTAGAAAGAGAAAACTCTTAAAAATGAGAAACAAACATACTCTTAAAGGGGGCATTTTTGGTAGCATATTTTGGCTATTAAACAATTTAGGTTGAATAATGAATTCTCTCATTATTTTAATAATTTAATTCAATTTGTCAAGTATTGGCTTGAAGAAATTTATGCTTTTCTTTTCTTGATTTATTGTTTCATATAACATTTCCTATAGCAAATTAAGAATACTGCAAAGTAGATAATTCTACTATATTGAATCTTAATTCTTATTTTTAAGCAGTGAAATTATAATATATTTTGCCTATTATTCTCTTATGCTAACCCAATGTTATTTTAAAACATTAATGAACTATTTAATAATTTTTATTTTTTTTTATTGTCACAGGATTTAATTCATGCATTTAAAAACAGTTTGTGTTAGATTGTAAACAGTGAACCAAAACTTGGAATAAAGGTATTTTTGTTAACTTTATATAGAAGATACTGATTGACTATTGATTTCCTGTATATTTTAAAAAATAAAAGGTTTAAATGCACTTTAATTTTTGTGTAATTTTAGTTTTTTTAAATTTAATTACTTATATTTACTTTTTAAATTTTTTCTATTGTCCAAATTAAATCTCTTATTCTAAAATTTATTCAATAATTAAAAAATCTATAGCAAATATTATCATTAATTTATACAAATATATAAAAAAAATGTATACCAAATAACAAATTGTCAAAATTTAATTAAACAAAATTAAAAAAAAAATATATTCTATACATTTTTTTTAGTATTTTTATTTAAATATTTATATTTCTATTAATTTATCCAGATCAATAACATATCATCCGTGAAGGCTACGGTGAACTAGTGGCTTATAGTGGATATGAGTAAATCAGTAAATTGATCGGTTATTAAAGGTTAATTAAATTTTACATTTTGTTATTAAGTCCATGTAATGAGTCCTTTTTTCTCTGATCGGTCTCCATTTTGGTCATTGCTTGTGCTTTACAACTTTTTGGGTTGTCGCTCATTGCTGCCACTGTTTGTTTCTCTTCGCCGCCATTGCTCGTTGCTCCCCGCTGTCATGAGGTCCAAGTCAATCTGTTGGGGGTTAAATTAGAACAGTTTTTATTTCTTTTTTAATAAATGTTAAGATGGTAGTATACAGTGATTTCTCTCTCCATCCCCAAATGCGCTTTTATCGTGCTTGTGGTTGCCAGTTACAAGTCTTGGTTCCATGGCATTCATGGCCATCTCGTATGGAAAAAGGTTCTGTCTTTTATGGTTTGAAATCTGATGGGTCTCATACTGTGACTTGTTTTGGATCCAACTCAGCCATAATCTATGGAACATCAACCCATTTCTTATTGGTCTAACTTTGGAGATAGCTTTGTGTGTGGGCTTCTAATGGGTTCTAATCAACCATGTTTGTGGCATTTAATATGAATTACACTTCTATAGCTTATTTGCCTGGAATGTTTGAAAGGAGATAGAGAGAGAGAGTATTTGGAGAGGGAGAAGGAGAACGGCACTCTGAATGCAATTAGAATGGATTCGAATTCGAACCAAATTAAGCGTAGGTGAGAGAGGAGGATGAGACTGAAAAAAGTTAAAATCAATAATGGCACAATTCATTCGGCAATGTCCAAGTTGGTGATTAGATTGACGATAAGTGGAAAGAGAAAATGCTGGCAAAACCCCTAGCGAAGCCGCATACCGAGAGTTTTAGCAGCTAAGGATAATAATGTGAGGTTCATGAACGGTTTTATTTGATTCCTCATAACATGTGGAAGTGAATTGGATTATTTCCAACAATTGTACCATGGATTAAGCTACTCCACATTCGTCATTCATTGCTTCCTCCACCATAAAAAAATTGAGATGTTTAAAGCATGTTTGATTTTCTTTTTAAAAATAAAATAAAAACAGAAAATTATTTTTTAAAAAGAAATCAAAAGTGCTCTTGTCAAAATGCAAGAACAGCAGTGAGGCCCTGACCTTAATATCAGGATTCAGTATATAACTTCAGGCTTCGGCACCATGTAGAATTGAATTCCACTCCTCCCCATATGGATAAACAAACTTAAATTCGAAGTGTAAGGTCAAACTATCGCCAAGCATCATTTAAATTCCGGATTATACATTCAGAGATCACCAGTTAATGCCACTGATCCAAGCATTTAGAAAACAAAGTTCTTGCATTGATGGTAGTATTGCTATATCTGTACATTCTATTGTTCAATCTGAATGGAATTACTATGAACCTACTATGCCAGAGTCAACGACTCCGGCATTTTCTGATTGGAAAACTCAACGATCAGCTACCAAAGCTTGATTATCATTATCAGAGAAAGCAGCAAGATTATTATGTGCGGGGACAGCGGTCCGAGAGTCTGAGTCATTACCTTCATCAACCTGGTTATCAGACGGGAAAGAGGGTAAGAGAATGCACATATTAACATGCTGATTAATAGAGTAAATGAAAGCATACCTGCTCAACCGGGGCAAGAGAGTGTTCCTGATTTCTCTTAGAAAGGTCTCTCAAAGCACCCTGCAGAATACCATTGTCAAAAGGTGGAACACTGACAACTCAGCAGTCAGCATAAAAGAAATTGCAAATTCACAATTGACCAAATTTGAATTGATGCACATAAAGAATATAGTTGCACCTTCCTCTAAGCAAGATAATAGGCCTCAGACACGAGTGGCAAAAATTAAATTATCCTCCTATGTCATTTAGAAGAAAATGGTTCAAAATAAGTTCAAAAGCAATATCAGTAAGACTTCCCTAGATTTTGTTATTCCCAAATAGTGCCAGAAAAGACCAGACCACACAATACACCAATAGATTCCCTCCTTGTGAAACTAAAGATATGTTTCCCCACCATCATATTCACAATTAATGTAGCTGGGAATGGAAATAGAATCAAGAACCAAAAGGTACAGCTTGAGGCCATATGCGTTGCATGCGATATTCCGTGTGGTTATTGGATCATGTCCACGTATTAGAACATCTATAATAACCAAATAGACCCAGCTCTTAAATATTTTGTTTTACAAAGACTAAAATAACTCCACTGGGGACATTAGGACTTAAAGCATCCTGAATATGACCACTTACCAAAAACAAAACCTGAAATTGTGGATTTTCATTAACCAACACCTAAATTTAAATACAATGAAGTAAAAGAGCAGGCCATGCATGAAAAAGTATATATTAGTTATTCATTTGTATTGTTTAACTATAAAATGTATACATTTGGAGAAAAACTCAGACACATTTTTGTCCCAAAAACAAAAGCCATTTGGTGGAAATACCTACCCTATTTGCCCAAAAAAGCCCACAGGCATTGCAAAGTGACCTCGGACCAGATGGCCCTCGCCGCATCATTGGGGTGGATTTTGAACTAATGCCGCAATGCGTGCATCTAAGAAAATGCAATAAAAAAGAGAGTAAACCATGCAGTTAGAGACTGCCTAGCCAAGGGAAAATAAATTCATTAATAACTTCTTAATACAAGATGCAATCTCTAATAATGTGAAATATAAAACTGTATTAAATAAACCTTAAGCAAGAATTAAATAGCAACAAAAAAGCCAAGAGTAGAAACTCACAATACAACAATAACAACAACAACCAAGCCTTATTCAACTAAGTAAGGTTGGCTACATAGATCACATGTGCCATTTAACTCCGTCAAAAACCAAATTTTCAAAAACTCAAAATAGGACAAAATTTCAGAATGTAACAAATCTTTTAGCTATAAGAATATAAATGTAAGACAAAACTCACGAGGTTTCTGATTGACTATCATCCTGTCCTGACTCTTGGTCTGTACCCCAACAATTAGCACCATCTTGTTTCTTTGATGAAGTGAACTGGCCCTTATTACGGTGCATCCTACATTTAAACATCAACTAAGTAAGAAATTGACACTGAAACATATAACAGCTATGAAAGATGAGCAACAAGAAAAAGAATGGAACATAGACAACATGGAAAAATTAGTGAGATGATGAAACCTCCATTTTTTGTACCAATATCAACTCCAAGGAAAGTTCACACTAAGAAAGACCGTTAGTATCTGTTTACTTCAAGTCATTTGTTAAAAAAATGGACGCAACTATAAAAACCCATATACACACTACATATAATATACTACCAAGCAAATCCCAAGGCACAATTCAGCCTTCACTCTGGCAGATATAAACTATCAATGTATCACGTGTGCAACATACTAATGGTATAGATGATGTTGTTACAGTATAAATCCTATTCATAATTTCTTAGTGAATTAAAATTTTATTTGAGTAGAGGGAAGAACATTAAAGCGTTAGTGGTAATTTTTTGCTGACTGCACTATGTCAGTTGGTCAATATTTGTCTCTCACAACATTAGAAACATAAGAAACAAAGATCATCATCCAATTTTCATATCTCCACATGGAATTCAATCGCTTATAAGAGATATCAGAGTATCTTTTGAAATCTTTGCACTAAATTTAAAGCATGTTTCATGTTCAATAAAAATAGAAAACGGATATGAAAATATGCTTGGTTTGGGTTTTAATGAAAATGCTGATGAATTGTTGTTTTCAGAAACAGGAAATTGAAAACATAGTGGCAACTTCATAATCGTAATAAAAATAATGCGAACCATGGAAGTCAATAGGTATTAGTACCCCTAAGGGTACCACACCAAAGGGAGTTGTCAAACAATTGCAGGTTAGGGGTTACAACCATAAAAATTTAAAAATTCATTACACATATAGATAGATATAACATATGTTTGGTAATTAATCCCGGATACCTGTTGGAGAGAAACATGGAGTACTCAATTAATCCTCAACACCCCATAAACAATGCATTTTCTAAAATTTGAAAATGAAAACGAAAAAATCATTTTGAAAAAACAAATAGAAAGTGAAAACATAAAATGTTCACAATTAAAAGAGGTATGGCCTAGATTTAGGATTATATGGACTGAATAAAAAATAACTAGGATACCAAAAGGAGTGAATTATGAGAATACTAAACATGCTCAAACTAATACACAAACAATCGACATGAAGTAAAGAGTGAACAAAATAATTCACATTCTTACATTTAACAAAGTTTAAATGATACACTTATCAGCCATCAATTTTCACTAATAGGAAGTATAGCTTAACAAGATTTGACATTATATTCAGATCTATTTCTTACAAAATCCAAAAGGACAGGCTTCTGCATAGTGAAGGTTAGAGATTGCTCCACAATGACCAAGGTAAAATTCCCCCTCAACTTATTGTGCCAATGAGTCAATTTGGAAACTATGAAGTCTATATTTTAATCAGTTCAAATTTCAAAATGAGAGAATAGTTTAAAGCACATATTTCTGTAGTACAGCTGTTCACAGAGCTTGTCTTGGGATTTAATATTTAATTTCATCAACTCAGACAAGTTGAACCGGAATCCAAACAAAAATTTTATATAAAACGAAGCTCAAAGTTGAACATATCAACATAATTGTAGGTATAATGAAGCCCAACACAAGTCTGTGTAAAACAAAATACAGAATAACCTGCTATCAGATCAATTGTCTAGCACACTGCTCAATTTCATTATATTTATTAGTTATCAATTAATTGGTTTCAAGAAGCAAAGTATCAAACACATTCCCAATCATCATTCACACATGGATTTGTTAACTAAGCAGCAACAACTTTTAAGCTCAGGCAGTAAACAACTTTGTTTATGTTTAAAGAATTCAATTTAATACAAGTAATTTTCTATAACATTATCAGACCTGAGCGCAACTTCTTGACGTACACTATATCTGACTTTCTTATCAAAGCACCGCTCTTTCCTCTTCTGCCTGAACCTATTTAAAGATGCAGCTCGCTGTGGTTGACTACATCGTGCTGGATATTCCATTGAACCCTGCAACAGGATCCAAAAATTAGAAAATGCCACTCACCACAGTGCACTTGCATGCAGATTAATCAAGTTCTAATATGAATAATGATACTCACAGCCACTTACAATCACATCACCTGCATATCACTTTACCATTTATTATGTAGCTTGGTGATAACTATCACCTGAATCAATATATTCACCACCAAACATTAACATATTGACAAATGCCGTTAACCAATGCTAGCAAGTAGCTAGCCATAGGTTGGCAAGGTATTTATTACCAAGGCATGCTCACTCCACAGCTTTTAGTTAATTATCAATTTATCACCCAACATCAAAGTATTCACGACCTAACTTCAATGTATATACAAATTACAAATTCTCACTTTATTAATGTCTGGTGGGAAGTACGTTGTATTAGGTGATAATTATCTACGGTACCTAATAAATGGTAAAGTGATGTGAGTGCAAGCGTAGGTAAACAACACTAGTCTATACTATCACAAAATACCCTCTGATTCTGTTGAGGTACAGTATCCACACATGGCGAACCAGTTGAAGATAGTTCACATCCACCCAACAGTAACAATACAGCTTGAACCTGTCACGTGAAACCAATTACAGAATTTCATTCTAAAAGCTTAAAAATTCCTACTTTTAATTTTAAAATAAAAGTTGAAGTAAGGCGAAACTATTATCACATATCTTCCTAACATTATACTCAGTTCTTAATCCCACTCTAGCGACAAATTAAAAAAATGAAAAATTAAAATTGCAAACCCGAATAAAAAGTTGCAAAATTTTAAATAAAAATGAGAGACGAGAATAATAAAATAAGAAAAAATAAATTTAAAAAAAAAAAAAGGAAAATGGTACCTTATCAGGCGTAACAGCATCGAAAACATAAACTTGGCCACGAAACGACAGCGTAAGTTGACTAGACTCTTCAGGGCCACAACCGCCAGAAACATAGACAGCATCAGAGGTAACATCCTCGACGACAACGCCGCCACCGCCAACTCCACCGCCACCGTCCTCGAGCGCGTGCGTTTCGTAGTGAATGTGGTGGTGGCCGTCGATGGCGGGGTCGGCGCCGGAGCCGTCGTCGCTTTCGCCGGCGGCGATCTGTCCGGGCATGTTTACAGGCTGGGCGTGTCCGTACATTGCTGGTTCCATGGTAGAACCGGGGAATTGCAATGCATTTACAGCGAGAATTGGAAGGAGGCTTGAAACCCTAACCCTAGGAAGAGTTTCAATTTGGTTAGAGTTTGGGTGTATTTGAGAGTGCTGAGTGTGTGAGAGGGCGAATGAAGGAAGTGATTAAGTGAATGTGAAAGCCAGCTCGAGAGAAGGACAACACAACACAACACAGCAATAAGCAATTCTTCAATTCGTTCTACAATTGGAAAACGAAAATGAAAAAGTGACCACAATGATGTTCATATTTACTGGGCTTGTCCACATAAGGCCCAATAAACATGGCACATGCCCTTCAGATTACATGTTTGATAACAAACTTTAATTTGCACTTCCAACAGTCAATTAGTCTCCTCAGACCAAAATCATATTTTCAACGAAAATAATAAATTTTTTCATAAAACTTAGGATCCCTCAAATCGATTTTTAGAAGTAATAGTTATGAAATTAATAAATAATGAAATATTATTTATTACATTTGAAGGACTTTATTATGAAAATCTTCCTTTAATTTAGTTAAAAAATATATATTAAGGATTCTTTAATTATTTCATCTTTTTAATAAAGATATTTACTATTAAGTATTGCAAGCATCCTTCACAAAAAACAATTTAATACACTAAGAAAAAATTATATAAACTTAATTTTTTTATATAAATGAAGTTGAACTCTCATTGATTTAACTTTTAAGAATTCAAATAGTATTTTTAAGACAATAATAAATATTTACTTAATAGTTTTTAAAATAAATTTATAAAATTATTACAAAAATCTTAAACTAATTTTTTAACCTCCAATACGCTCTTTTAAATGTCTTAATTGATACGAATAAGATGAAAAATTTAATTAATATTATATATCCATTTTTATATATTAAATCTAATTATTCATTTTTAAATATTTTTTAAGAGGTGTTTTTTAAAAAAGTGCTTTTAAAAACTACTATCGTCAATCATTAAGTCATGTGACTTTTCTTGTATATAGCATGTATTTTTTTTAATTATTCAGTATTATGTTTAAACATGTTTTTAAGTTTTAAATATAATTATATTTAAGCTTCAAATTTTAATATAACATGTTAAATTGAATATATCTTTTTAAAATAAATTAAATTTGAATACTATTACATTCTTAATCAATCTTACTTTAGATTTAATTTTAAATTTTGACACACTATATTAAAAAGGGTAAAAAATTTATAAATTAAATCGTAACTTAATTTTTTATAATTTTTCCTAATTTTAAAAACTTTATCTCTTAATTATTTAATACAATAAAAAAATTACGCTTTTTGAATTTAAAAAACCTATTAAATTTGAAAAAGGTAAGCAATATTTCTTTAGTTTTTATTTAATTTAATAATATTAGTACAATTTTAAAGAAATTCACTAATTATTTATTTAGAGTATGATATATGTTTATTTATTGTTTAAATAAGAAGGAAGATCTATATCATTTAATAATTTTAAGGATAAAGCCAAGAAATGTGAGGGGATCACTTTATTTGTACACTTTTTAAACATTAATGATAAAGCCAAGAAATACTATAATGCATACAAGGAGGGGTTGAGAAAGTGTTCAAATGAACATGGCAGGTACAATTTGTCTACTCATGCTTTCTGCTTCTCCCATATCCTTTCACATTCACTTTGTCCATAGCATAGCAACTTCCCTTGCTTTCAACACCTACTGCTATCTCATCATTCGCTCCAACCACCTTACCTTGCCTATTTGACATTCTGCTGTCATGTGGATCAATGATCATCTCAAGACTCGTTACATTACCTCACCACTGAAAGAGACCTTGTCTTCAAGGACCAATCTTAACAATTAATGATGTAGGAACCATCTTTTCTTTATAAATTTGAGTTTAAATGAGTTTATTTTATTTTAAAGTGTGTTTCAAATATCATATTTTATATTTAAAATTTTGTCTCTGTAATAAAATTTAGCATAGATATTTTAATTCAATATGAAAATTAAAAAGTTATTATACTGAATAAAATATGAATTTAAAGATAAAGCTAATTTTGATTAAAAACAATCAACCATCAATTGTCAGGTAGTGCTCATTACTCACTGGTAGCTAGCACTTGAAATTAGGGTGCAAGTTCAACACGCAATTGTAGAAACTTGGCATTTCGAGGTTGCAAAAAATAAGAGGTGACTGTCTAAAAGAAATTGGATCTCTAGTCTATTGATCTGAGATTTGAATCTAATGGTGCCCAAACCCCTCTGGGCCTCTTTTAATAGCAGATCGTGTTGAAGTTGGGTTTCGTTACTAGTGGAATCGGTGGACAAAACAAAGTTTGGGTTGCATTATGCTCAATCTTAGAGAGGTCTGAATTTGGTTTGTCACCTTTTCCCTCAACCACATCATTGTGGAGGAACAGGATTAGATATATACCATTTTCAAAGGATTTTTCTTTTCTCACTATTTTTTAAATTGACACTTTTTTAAGTTTATAATTTTTGGAAATTTAATTATAAATAATTTTAAAATCAATTTTCAAAAAGAGTTTAATACATTTCAAAAACTGAATTCCTAAATACATTTCATAAAACATTTGTAAAGTTGGCTCGGGGGATATAGCTCAGTTGGTTTTCACTTAACTTTAATTTGTTTATCAGTGCAACTCAATTCACATACTTAAACTGGGTTAAATAATTTCAACATAATGAAAGCTTACTTATTTATTTACTGATATAACTTGTTTAATCTATTGATATCGTATTAGGAACAATGAAGATTAGGGAGAATTAAAACAAAATATTAGACTCATTTCTCCTTAGCCCACCCATTTAACCCATGGATTAAGTGGGTTTGGTCAATATGGCTCAAATTTTCAATGAGTTGTTTTTTCTTTTTTTACAATTCAACCCATCATTAAATTAGATTAGGCCATGGATCGAAATTAAATTAGTACTTCTAACTTATAGCCACCTAATACAAAATAAACATATCTGTATTCTTATTTATTTAGAGAAAGGAGAAACAAATTTTTTTAACAGTTTTATTAAAATTACTTATTAATCTTTCTAACTTATTTTTTGTTAGTAGTTTTTTCAATTTTTGGACTACTCAACTAGTGTATTTATGCTTTATTTACTGTACTGAAAAATTTGTTGAGTAAAAAGATATTAAGAAAAAATAATAAGTAATATTATTTTAAATTTTTCACATTAACAGATAAATAAAAAAAATCTTCTATATTTGAATAAAGATATTGAGTTACACTAAATACAAACATTGATTGAAGTTTTAACAGTATGAAAAATATTTTAATTAAAAAAATATAATAGAAAGGTAATTAGTAAGACATAAAATTTAGTCAACGAAATGTGGCTTGACAGCCGTTTTATTAACTGAACTCCATAACTGGGTCCGACTCGTGCACTTTTTCTCCTGCCTGGGTCCATATCGTGGCCATTGTCGCAAGACGATATCCTCGATACTATTCATGACCCGTGAGACTAGTATTAAATGTTTCTTTAATATTTTTATTTTTAATATGTATTTTAAAGGTGATAAAAAAAAATTATTCTGTCTACATAGTTTTCAAAACACAGATAAAGGAGTTTTAAAAATATTGTTTTAATTTATAAAAAAGTTAAATCCCTGATTATGTTATCATCAAAAACTCTTCTATGTTAACACATGTTACAGGCACTTTTACATACAATGGATCCACTGTTTTAAAATGCTTAGTTTTTTTTTTAAATAAAAATGTTTTTAAATAACTAAAAAGAAAAAAAAAACAAATATTTTTATTTTAATATAGTATTTTTGTGTGTGTGAGTCTATAATGGATCTCTCTGTTTAGTACAATAATGATAATGAAGTTCGAATTTAGATATGTCCCATCATGCAAACTAAACAAACCTTAGTGGCTCTGCCTAATGTGTATATTGTTTATATATTTTTTTTCCCTACACATCCTAATGTGTCTAATATAGCATAAATTAAAAAAAAAAGTCGATGAACAAATCTATAATAATAATAATAATAATAATAGAGGATCCAGTGTATGGACTATGAAGTCATCCAATAAATGGTGGTTTTGACAACCATCCAATTAATTAAGCAAGTGCCTTAAACATTAAAGTTAACATGCTTTGTGCTTTGAGCTTTTATTAATCCTATACTCGTCCATTTTTTTCTTCACACACAATATCTACATATAGGTGCACCTCGGGGCTAAGGTGGCAAGCCTACAACTACTGAGAGCATAGATATCCACTGCTCATTTGCCTGACTCTCTAGGTTGGTGCTTTCCCTTGCCTTTTAGGTTCCATAAGCAAATGGCAAGGAATAGGAAAACTTAGTTAAAGTTCTTGATGTGATTACGTAGGTTCGATTCCATGATCAAAAAATTTTCCAAAACACTTACGTGACTTTTGTTTCCACGGTTGACACTCACTTCTGATCCCGTGAAATGATACAAATGAAATGATCACTTTTGTACTCTTATTGATTTATTAAAAAACATATAAATTTGTTATTAAACTTTGTTTGGAATCTAAAACAGGAGGTAATAAACGAGTTTGAAAGAAAAGGAATAAGAGAAAAGAAAAAGAGTAAAAGAATTAATTACAAATTTTTTTAAATATAGAAATAGATTATTATAGTTTAAACTTCTTTAGAAAAATATAACTACGACGTTAAATTTTTCTTTTTAGAAAAATCAACTATTACTTAAATGAAGCACTTACAAACTTTAAATATTCAACATCATCATGTTGATAAGGACAAACACTTTCCTTGAAAGACATTATACCATTTAATACATAAGCTATTACTAAAACGTGTGCATTGCCTATCTTCAGTCGAACCAGTGAACTCCACTCGATTCCCTCAAAACTTAATTTATCATTAAGAAAAGAAAACACTGCAAACTTTGGAAACATATAATGATATTTTCCACTCAGTTATTAGATGTTTCAAAAGGATATGCTATAAAATCGAGATCATATCATGTACCACGATCTTTTAGCATATGGAAACAAGCGTGAACACATAAATTATCCAATAGTATGTCGAGAAATTTTGCACTCTATTATAAAATTAACTACCATTATACTAAATACATTACTTACGTATTTTCACAAAAAGAAAAAAAAAGTTTGTTTATTTGCTTTTATTATTAGTGTTTGTAAAAATAAATAAAACAATATATATTATAGTATGTTAAAAAAAT